GCTATGCCCTGCCTGGGTCGCCGCGCCACTCGCCCCGCTCGGGCTCTGGGTCGTTGTTTCATTTCAAGGACGACCGCCGATCCTCGAACCTCGATCCTTTCACGGCCGGGATCCACCACCACCGCACTGGCCCGCCCCGCGCCTCAGCCACAACCGCGGCAGCGCCCCCAGCCACCCCCCCCCTGCCCAAACCGGGAAGTTGCCACGTTTGTCCTGGCTGGAGCACCTATGATCCGATATCGAGTACCCATATCCATATGTCTACCGTGCTAAGGAGCAACGCCGCGCCGTATGGACTTTCAGGCCTTGCCAAGTTTCCTTCGACAAACCCCGGATTTTCGAAACGATACACAATTTGAAGGTGTCTTCAATTTTGTGAATATCATCTGTAAAATGGTACTGCTAGGTATACTGAGTGCTAGAATATCCTTGGTTTCTAAATTGAACGATTATTGGAGAAAATATGACAAAATAACCTAACCTGCTAAAATACATGTGTTTAAATGGAAAATGCCGCCAAATGACGTCACGAGGTGGCAAATTTTCTGGTGCATAAATCGAAAATTCACGACACGTACAAGAGCTGCATTGTTACGACCCTTCGTTAGTAGGTGAGTAATGTATTTATTTGACTTGGTTATTGCATACATTTACTCGAAGTAATTGAAATCTCCCTTGAAATTGTCCTTTGATCGGTAAATTTACTCCTTTTTTTCGGGCAAACGCTCAGTTACATACATTCTTGGCCATCTTGGTTTGATACTGGAACCTGAAGATTGACATCGGCATTTTAATTGATTGACAGCCCGATTCCAATGCCAACCCAATATGACCGGAGAATCTTTATGAAAGAGCGTCTTTCCTCAAAAATGAGTGAATGTATACAAAAACTAAGACAAATACGTGTTTTACAAACGACAGGTCATAACAATTGTAATAATACTAGAGGGCTAGGCCGCTACGCAGCCCAACCCCCGAGGGCGCTTCGCGTTCTATTAGGCCCGCGTCGACAAAAGAACGACCAAAAAAATTAAAGGATTTTCATAGCCGACTCTCATTTATCCAATCTCCCTCTGGCCGGGAGTAATTGGACCAATAAGGATAGGAAAAAAAATCGGCATTTATTGCAAACTTCACGCCAAGACTGAAACAAAACGGAGCGTTCCGTCGCTTTTGGATAGTTTGTAGCAAAGAAGCATACCTTCGATTCACTTACCCTACTAACAGACCAAGATTCAACATTTCCCGCTAAATGTTAAATTGCCGCCGTTTTTCATGGGCGGAAATTTCAAATTTTGCCCCCCTTTCTAAGCTTTCTGGTCTCCTCTGATGTAGAAAAACCTGGGTCCTATTTTCAAATTCTGATTACAGCAAACTCATCTAGGGGCTATCAACTGTCGATAACCGCAAAAATCATGACAATCGGCCCATTAGAACGCTCAAACGAACTATGACAAAAAATAAAAAATTACATTGTTTAAATGGAAGAATTCGCAACTTTACCACGTACGTAATATGAAAAAAAAACCGGGTCATATTTTCAGAATCTGAATAGAGCGGGCTCATCTAGAGACAATTGTCTGTCGATGGCCGAAAAATCATGAACGTCGGCCCGACAGAATGCTGGAACTAAGCATTACCAGGTACTCAAATTTAGGAGGTCTCGGAGTTTATAGTATAGACATCATTCTGGATAATTTCAGTTCATAGGTTGGCTGCCAGCCTACAAATTAGCAACAGGTCTGTACTCAACCTGTCGTCACCTTCCAGGCAAAGTATCACAAGCGCCATGCGACGTTTAAAAATTTCCGCCGCCATTATATTTTTTTTTACAGAGAAATTGTTCAACGAAGCTGTCCGAAAATTACACCGAATTTTCTTTGTGCTGGCGATAAAATTTAGTGACATTTTCGAACAGATTCAACCAACAATTTAACTCAATTTTAAACTCAGTAAAAAAATAAAATGGCGGCAGAAATTTTTAAACGTCGCATGGCGCTTGTGATACTTTGCCTGGAAGGTGACGCTGTGTAGATAGGTACTCTATTCGGATAGAGCCCCTTCATAGGGGAAGTTGAGGCGATTCTTCCCGGTTTCTGACGTGGTCCAACTGGTAAGGGATATGTCGCATCGATCCAGTAAAAAATCTCGGCAGATTTTGAAAATTTTGCCCAAAAAAAAGAATGATCGTCCATGCGCATGAGCCTAAAGAAAGATTCTTCTAGGGATGCAGACACTTCCGTACCATGGTGCCGGCTGGTCCCGCGAAAGGGGGATCCCATCTTATCACTTTCCGGCCGAAGTATCACGAGCGCATGCGACGTTTCAAAATTTCCGCCGAAATTTTTTTTTGTACAGAGAAATTCTTCAAGGAGGCTGTCCGAAAATTTCACTGGATTTTCAACGTTCTGCCGACAGAATTCGGTGGAAGTTTCAGCAGCGCAACGTAGTGGCGAATCTCGTCCAGAGATCACATAGAATCACCTTAAATTGGCCTTCCGACTTTAAAAACCTCTTTCACTCAGAAAATTTCGAAAAGATGACTTTCACAGGCCCTGTACGTACAAATTGCCGCGATTTTGCGCAAAGCACGTGATTAGTACGGCGACATTACGGAAAACACATTACTTTTAACGCGGTTTTGCACAAAAAAAAAAAAAAAAAAAAAAAAAAAATCGCAATTGTGCCAGCTTCCCCATTTCAAAACACCGTATTGGGACCTTTCCATTTTGGCGCGCGACCGATCGCGACCCACCCCGTCGCGTTGTCGCGCGAGAAGTTTTTGCACCTCTGTATTTCAAACTCACTTTTTGATGCTTAAAAATTGGATTGTGGGTAAATTTTTCACGGAATATATTTTAAGACGAGTTTTATTTGATAACATTACCTCAATTTTTGTAAAAACCACCCGTACTTAAGAAAATGCCTCGTCCTCCAAGCCTCTCAATTCAAACCGCGACTCCAGATTCTGTTTTTATCCTGGCTCCCATAAATATTAGAACTGGGGAAAGCTAAGAAGAGACAAAAGTCACATCAGTCTGGATGCATCGATCATCAGTTGGTCCATTAGTTAGCATGTAAACATCTGTTGAATAGTGCAATTTTTGGGTGTGACATTTGTCTCTTCTTTTCTTTCCCCAGTTCTACCAGATAATTTAGTGCCAGAATTCCGGGTAGGGGATGTCCTCTCGAAATAAATGAAATAGGAGGGGTGCAAGTTGTTCTCGACCGCGCGGGTGCGGCTAAATTTTGGAAATGCCCGTAAAATTATGGAGGCTGAAAAAAATTATTTGTTTCAGAAAATTTTTCAGTTTTTAAACTATTGTGGAATAATGCTACTTTGGCACACATCCTACAACTATTCAAAAATTTAACAAAAATTTGATTAGCGCTTGTTGCGCAGGGCCGGATTTACTTAACTGCCGCCCATGGGCCTCCTGTATTTTGCCGCCCCCTTCTCATTCGTATTGAAACATCAATAAAAACCATCAAGTGAACGTGCCGGAGGGGGAAAGGCGTATAAAACACGTTTACTCGTGTTGGTCACATTTTTTGCGAAAACCCTGTTAACACTACTAGAAAAAGTTCACGGAACTTAGCGCGAAAGTTAAGTTCCGTAAACCTATCTCTGTATGGACAAGGCCCTCTATTTATAAGAAATGAACCAAAAAATTATGAAAGAGCAAACATAAATGTGGTTTAATAATTTTAACTTCCGCCGCCGCGCCGCGCTGACCGCACTATGTTTGGCGCAATGCGTGAAGTATTCCTAACAGTCTAACATGCGCGTTTCGAGCCGACCGCTGCTGCACGCACTGTGTTTGACGCAATGCGTGAAGTATTCATGCAGTCTTGTAGGCGCAATGCGTTTCACGCTGCTCACTGCTGACCGCAGAGACCGCGATGTCTTTGGCGCAATGCGTGAAGTATTCGTGCAGTCTTGTAGGCGCTAATATGTGTTACATGCCGAGCGCCGCGCCGAGGGTTTCTCCTTTTCATCTCACACGGTCTCGTCATCATTGCTCTCTGCGCCGCGCCGTTCCAGGCCGAATTCCGTGTGCGGTTTCTCTCTTAGTCTTAACTCGACTAATTAAAGGTGCTGTCTATTGTATCACAGAAAGACGACAAAATTAGAGATATACTCTCAGGAAATGAGAGATTTTATCACCTTTTCTCGTTCGTTTTTTTTTTTTTTCTGAATCCGATTTTTCTTTATAGCTTTATTTAAAAAAATTGCCAAATTTGCCGCCCCCTAAATTTGCCGCCATGGGCCGCGGCCCATGTGGCCACCCCCTTAATCTGGCCCTGGCTTGTTGGGTAACCTTTTGGCAAAAACCCAAAGAGTTCCAGAGAATTAAAACAAAGTTAAAGAAGGAAAAAAATAATTTTAAGAGAAAAAAATAGCAGCTAGGTAAACTACCGGGAGGAAAATGTTAATACAGAGCATGAATAGGTAAGTCAATTGAAGACAACTTTAACAACCGAAAATATTCAGGCAAATTTAGCTAGGCACATCTTGACAAAGAATAGTTTTAGGGGCTGTTCATGAAGATGTCAATATGGTTGACATGACATATCAAAGTCAACTCCATAGCAGCTGTAAGATTTATAGGTATTTGTGATGTTTTTTTCTTTTTCTGTGACTTAGATTTTTTGTCTTTGGTGAAAAACTGTGACAAATTTTCACTAGTGCTAATAATAACTCTGAATTTAATGTGATAGAGCCAAGTTTATAGTTCGCTCATTGCATGTTGAAACAAATTTCAATCTCTGCCTAGCTCTGAAGAAGCACTACTCAACATGTTAACATAAGCAATCAGATGGCGAGTGGTAGCAGAAACAATATTTGATTACCGTGTCAACATACATGGAACAAGCAATACCATTCATACGAATGTGCTGAGATTTTAATAATTATGAAACTTGAGAGCATCCATCATATAAGATTAGAAACTTAGACAAACAAAGAGTTATTTTAAGAGAGTACTTTGACTCCTTACCTTCAACTTTGCGCATTGCGAGTATCGTGATGGTCTGAATGGCAGGTACAGCCCACGCGGCTAGGTGGAAATACTGAGAGTTGGCTTCGATAGCTTCATGGCCCCATTTTAATCCAGCGGCAAGGAACCATGTAAGCGTTAAGATGACCCACCATATTGAGGAGGCCATGCTGAAGAAGTAAAGAACCATGAATGTAATGGTGCACAGTTCGTGTCGAGTGCCTTGTGTAATAACTGATCTTTGATTATCACCAACACCAAACTTCTGACAAGCTATCGAATCATCCGCAATGAAGCCAACGACGTAGGCTAGAGACACCATTAGATAACACACAGAGAGGAATATTATGGGCCTTTCGGGGTAACGAAATCTATCAGTATCGATCATGAAGGTTAAAACCGTGAACAAACAAGACGCAGCACACAATAGTGACCAGACACCGACCCATAACCGCACAAATTTTTTCTGCTTGTCAGAGAAAAACATGCCATCACACGGGGCTCCACAATCTTTTTCAACTTTGTCCCCAACTTTGAGGGAATACTTGTAGCCTTCCGTGACTTTAAAAGGGGGTGGACACACAAAACCAATATTTTTGGCTTCTTTGGGAATTATAGGATAACTCGAACCATGATCACCAATGGGTCTTCCGGCAGACCCAGGTAAATAACCGCTTTCTGGATAATAACCGCTACCCAAAGATAACTGAGTATTATGACCATTCGGACTTTTACCAGAGGATGGGGCCCCGGAGCTTGATGTTTGATTCTCACCGACACAAATATCCGACCCTCCGGCAACTGGAAACTTGGAACACTCCAACTCTTCGGGCCAAGGATACCCAAATTTCTTCATCAGATCTTCACATCCATTTTTGGCTGAAAGACACAGCGACCTACACGGAGGAATTGGATTCTCCAAAATTGTGCAAACAGGAACATAAACCGAGCACAGGAAAAACTGAAGATCCCGGCTACACTTGATCTTCACCAATGGGAAGAATTGGTGGACTTCGTAACCTGCATCATCCTGCTTCTGATGGTTCAGAATATTGGGCATAATGGTTTCATTGTACGGAATATCCATGCAAAACGGGATGGTGATGGGTTCACAGCGACCATGGTGCGGGAGGCTGTCTTTTTCACTAACCCTCGTAGTGATCATGCTGCTTGCAACAAGCAGAGAGCTCTCCATCAGGAGAAAAATGAACATGGGCAATCGTGGGCACATTTTGACCTCCAACGCACCCACCATAATTGCGACCAGAACCGCGGACGATTATCACTTGTAGAGAGCGTAAATGGCATCTTCCATTGCAAAAAACTTACTCCGTACCAAACGATAAGACGAACACGAACAAAATTGATGAATTATTCACTCACAGTTGTATACAAAAACACTTGGAGAGGTTAGAATGCATGGAGAGCGAGAGCTCATTTTTTTTCACTTGTAGAGCCGGCGAAAAAATACCAACGGAAAAACTGTACGCACCACACCAAGACGGGAGAGTCAAAATTTTCTCAAATAAAGAGAATAAATATTAGAGCCTAAACTAAATAATTTTAGGGTAATTATGAGAAAAATCACCAAACACAATAGAACACGGTTTCGCGAGCGCGCGACCTCTCCCGTTGAGTTTTCTCGGCAGACTGAGTCAAAATAAAAGGAAGGAGTTGGAGTGCAACTAGCAGTACACATGAATGACCGCCATTGGATGACGTCATCTAAACACTTCGTTTTTTTAAAAATAAACCCGGTACCTTATTTTCTAAAAATGCACCAGATAGCGCACACCGCGTCGGGATTCGAGAACTAATAAAGAAATATGACAACGTGGCTTGATGTTTTAACTTAGATTGAGGTTAGAAAAGACTGCAATTTGTTTCTCCAACGTTCGAAAATGTTAAACGGATCCCACAATTAAACTTTTCTCATTCAGCCAGTAGTAGACTTTGGTAACAGAACATTTGATTTTTGAACTTTTATCTCTGTGTTTCGTTGCGGCCCACTTTTCAATGTTTCCGGTGATTCTTTTGGGCCAGACAGTGGGTGTATTTGGCCAGCTTTTGAAAGTTCCCACCGAGGTTTAAGCTTCTTTTCCGTTTAAGTGAAATGTTTTCTCAATGGCTTTTTATGACAATAAGCATTGGTTATTGTCTCAAGTTCGAAATTCCTTTATGTTATTTGATGATACAGGTGAGAAGTTCTCATTACCTTACCTCAGCGCACTGCTCCACCGTCCTCTCTGCTGTGTTTGGTTTATTTCCACGGCACTTCAACTTCTTGCGCTGGAGAGTGCTTGCTGTTTATTTAAAACTTTGGCATCAGCAGAGTACTTATATTTTTTCCATCTCCAGTGAAATAATTTATTGGGAATCAATTTCAACAAGGATCAGTTCTTTAAAGAGGCAGGCTACCCTCAGCCTGAACTGTGTCTCATCTAATTTTTTCCTCTGACGTGTTCTTGTGGGTTTCTTAATTTAGAGGTATAGTTCGTTAGATTTCATGTTCATCCTACCTTACTGATTGTATCAGTGGCCTATTAAAGGATTCACTTTTAAGTTAGCTACTCAAGAAAGTTCTCCTAAATTGGGCCTGAAGCGTGACAGATGTTCAACAACTTGGGGAAAAAACTGATACTCAAGTTATATCACATTAACTGGGTCTAAATTTCCTCACAAACTTCAGCCTTAAATATACTAGGTTATTTGTTGTTACAACTGGCACTGCCCAATAGAGTCTTATTTGTTGGTACCGTACTAATGACTAGAATGTTACTCATTTGTATGATCTGTGAAAAAAAAATGTTTTGTTCATCACCAGACGAAAACAAAGCCTTTTTTTGTTACCTGACACTATCATTTGGACCGAGTTTAACAGAAAGGAACCAAGCCACATCTGCTATTGCCAAATTTAACTGGGCAATTTAATTTTTTACGAGACATCATTTGTGCGGATTCCTTTGAAATTTTTGAGGAATTTGCTTCAAATTATGGAGAATTTTCACTGAAATTTGCACGAAAATCCGCACAACCGTTTCCATGAAAAAAATCAACTTGCCCGATTAAATTTGGCAATAGCTGATGTGGCTTGGTTCCTTTCTGTTTAACGCGGTCCATTTATGGAAGAAAGAAACATTAAAAATGTGGATGAAGTTTAGTTTAGTCAGTTGGGTGGGTTTTTCCCTTCTCTGCGTGCACATTTGGGGATGTGTGCTTCCCTGTTTGGTAGCTGACAGTTGTATCTGCTTACATTCACATCTTCAACTGCCCGCTAATTTACTTTGTGATGTTTTGCCTTGGGAGGTGTTCAGCAGCATTGAAGGATCTCATCTTGGAGCCCATGCCATTGCATTGTATCTTTGACATGACTTAGGGTCATCCAAGATTTTGCTGGATACCAAGCTAAACTCTTAACTTAATTGACTTTTAATTTTATTCTGCCACCTTCCGGCCGAAGTATCACAAGCCCCTTTATGTTTTGCCTCAGTATTGCCGGACATCTAATACTGTTTCAATTTTTTCTGTAAAACTTGTGTTCATACTTTTATGAAAATTTTAGGGATTCAATTTGATGACTAAAATGAAGTATTAAGTATAATCTTCTACTGACTCGCTGCCTTAGTTTTTCTGTAAGAAATTGGAAAAATTTGAGAATTTTGGCAACATATTGCCTAAACACAAATGGTGCTCATGACACTTTGGCCAGAAGGTGACGATGTGGACTGCATTCAGCAAGAATGAACCTAATCATATCAGCTATTGCCAAATTTAACTAAGCCCTAATCTTCTGCAAAAGAACGTTTGTGTGGATTCCTTTAAAAATTTTAAGTAATTTGCCTTTCATTGTGCAAATTCACTGAAATTTGCACAAAAATCCGCACAACAGTTTTTACGTCAAACATTAAATTACCCCATTAAATTTGGGAAGAGCTGATGTGGATTGGTTCCTCTCTGCTTAATGAGGTCCATTTATCAGTTATCTTCTTTGTACTTAACCCCCTGCCACGGCCAAGGCTTATCTGGTGGTGAAGTGCGTTTGTTGAAGTTGTATTTTTTTCTACAGATTCTTCATTTATGTCTAGTGAAGCTGAAAATACAGGAGTATTTAAGCGAATTTTCGCGATAGAATATCATTCACTCTTGAATGATTCGACTTTTTTGTCATTTTAGTTTTATCAATAATTTCAAAGACCATACTGCTACAATTCTGTGAAATTTCATTTTGTTATTCTCTTTTTAGGAATGTGTGAAGTTGTGATGGCTGGTGAGAATTTGGCAAAGAATTTGGATTGTTCGAAGTATGACTGCTATCCTGGTGTGGAAGAGAGCGAAGATGAAAAGGATATGGACCATTCATCGGACATTCACCCAGGTATGCTTTCTCTTAATTTTCATTCCTTTGAAATCATTGAAGCTCCATCAATATCAGGCTGGCAAACATCAAGGCTAATAATAACCTAGAAAAGTTGAAGAATTTTAAAAAACCTGTAGATTTAGAGAATATTGTTAGTTGTCAGGGAATTTTTACGTTTGTAGAGGAAACCGCACTTTGGTGTACTTGTTACCCAAGCAAAAAAATAAGCAATTATGAAATTATTGAAATTTCTAAGATTCACTGAAACAATACGTCTCTAGTTTTGCAGGAATGCAGCAGCGAAATATTCACTTTTTCAAAAGTTGAGCAATTTATTTTTTTGTAAAAGTCAGGAAATTCTGCCAAAATTAGTCAGGGGAGTTTTTAGGAAAAGTCAGGGAATTTTGATGTTTCAGTACATTTCCTACCCTGAATGAGTAGTATTCCATTCAGCCATGTTTTAAAATCGTTTGCAGTCAATAAGTGGGAAAGAAAACACAAATTAAGGGGGTTTATTTAAGTATTGTATCCATAACTGTCCCCTCAACTTAAAGGCTCCTCTTATCAAGGTATTTTTATGAACTTGATTTAGTTGTGACAGACTCTATTCATTTTTGCTATTTTTTCTCATCCAATGAATGTTTCTTTTCTTTTCTTTTCGAGAAGTTGTATTTGCTATTTTTCTCCTACTAGATTTGGAATTTGGTATCTACCGTTCGAATACAGCTGCTCGCCTCAAGCGCATGGAGGAAGAGCAAAAAAGAAATGCAAACACAATGCACATCAAGTGGGAGCCTCATGCTGCAGCTCTCTCAGGTAATGTCAATTTATGGAGCTATCTCTCAACATTTACTGTCTAATGGCAATTCTCTCAACTGAAGCATGGATTTCCCAGATCAGCAGAGTACTTAGCCTAGGCTCAGGTCCAGTTTATTTCCCTTTTTTCTCTAATTTCACTGTGTCCACTGAAATTGATTCTGTCTCTTAAGTAAATGAGTCTCTAAAATTTGAACGCAACTGCAGCTTTTTCAGGTAAAGAACTTACGCGTTTTTAATGGTTCTTTCCATTAAATTATCAAAAGATTGGAAGAAAATCTGCTCCCAAATTAATTTTGCCTATTACTTTTTGGGGCGCATTGAAATAGGTGTTCAGCACTGATGAGTGCACCTTGCCCCCTCTCGTTCCTCTCTTGACTATGCTCAAGGAATGATATTTAAGTTATCAGGTTGGGGCTTAGTATGTGGATACTTTATATGGATAAAAGGGGGAAAATTAATGTGTATTATCCAGCAACAATAGAATATTGATAAATATAAAATAGTCAAAGAAGCATCCAATGGAGTTATTGTATGGGCCAGGGATTTGCAATTTAAGTACTTTTTCCTCCGAGTTTTGCAAGAAACATAATGATGCCTTCTGGTTTTCTCTGAAAACAAGCCTAAAGTTAAAATAAGCTCCCAAATATAATGGAGGGGATACTCTGTATCTAGTCCAACACTCCATGCACGGACAGAGGTCAAATACAATAGCTGGGTTGCCACTTTGTTTGAGGACTCCAAAGTTGGAACCACGGCAACCCTGCGAATGTATTTGACCCCATCTGTGCATGGAGAATTTGACTAGATATAGAGGTGGACTCTTAATGGAGTGTGGGATATTTCCTCTGTTACGGCCTAAACTTAGAGACCTTGTTTTGAGCTTGGAGGTTGATTTTATAGAAAACCAGTGGCACCAGGCACCATCTTGTTTCTTGCGGAATGTCACATATGAAGCACTAAAAAGACATATCCCCAACACATGCAAGAACTCTATTGAATAATCACAATAGTAAGATCTTCTTCTCCTCTAAGTGTGTTTCTCTTCCTCCCAAGTCTTTCGATGATAGTCTCTTGTGTTTCATCAAATATTTTTCTAACATCATTGCAGAGCTGATTTAATCGCTTTTCCTGTCTATTTTAGGGTGAATTTTGAAGAATTAAGTATTTAAAAGGAAGAAGAAAAAAATTAAGCAACCCATATTTTCTGTATTTTTTATTTAGATATCTTCTAAATTGCAATCATTTATTTTTTTGTTTCAGAGGAGGATAAAGATGAGCTTTTCGTTGCCAAAGATTTTCGTCGTAAAAAAGACAAGAGGGAGTTCCAGTCTTTACTTACCGAACAATTGAAAAAATATGCATACTTGCCGCAGAACCCCTTTCAAGACTATGCTAAATTTGATGGCAATGTATGAAATCGCTTCTATGAATTATCTTTCTTTTTTCTCATGATTTCGTCCGAAAATCTTTGCTTATTCGCCGGGAAATATTTAGACAAATATGTAACATATTTCTCTTAAGTATTTACGCGGTGTGAATCGTAGATATTTTCAGTGAACATTTTTGTTTTCAATTTTTTTTCCTTTCCATTTATTTATTTAAGTTATTTTTTTATAAATTATCAAGCCGCTAATTACATCCTGTGCACACAAAAAAAAAATTAGACCTGGTTCAATAGCAGTGATTGACGATACTGAACATTACATTAAGTAATTTTATCAAGCGAAAAAATTAGTTTTACCACAGATGTCGAGAAAATCGTAGCAATTGGAGATGATTTGTCAATGCAAAGATTGCTCACATAGTTTGTGTTGTAAAGCCAGGCTCATTCATGCATGTTGGCACGTCAAAGTATCTGAACTCCAAGTATATTTTGCGCGGATGTAATCAGGATTAGCCACCTTGAATTTTACTGTACCTAATTTTCTCTCATGTTTTACGTTTCTAAGGGAGAACCTATCATGTAAAGCCTTAACAAATTCTGTGCACTTCCTCTACCTTGAAGAATGGATTCAAAGTGAATGGCATTGCAACTTTTCAAGAAATCCTCTCATTATTTTATTTTATTTATTTACGTTAAGTATTAAAGATTTTATCACATAAATTAGACTCAGTTCATCAAACGAGTGCATGGGCAATATTCTGCTGTGCTAAGGAAGAACTTCACATGAACCTTTAGACATCAAATTTCCTTTGATAAAACAAGAATTTCCCGGAAAACTTATGAATATTTTTTTTTCTAATTTTTTAGCTAATTTTGTTCGCAATTTCACCTGAAGCTTTCTAAAATTTCAAGGAAAAATATTTATAACTTTCCTCAAAAGTAAACATTTTATCAAAGAAAATTTGGCAACTCTCGAGTGGTAATACGGCGTTTTTCCTTAGCACGGCAGTATTGTGAACGCACTGCACAAGAACAGATATGTCGTTCCTGGAATCAGCCTTAAAAATTGTTTTGCCTCTGTTCCATGTAGTCTAGTTTCCCTTGAAACAACTTCAAAGTCGTGTAATTTCTCTTTTCTAGGGTCAAATAGGGGTTCCAACAAAAAAATTTGGTATATTTATTGCAATGTTGAGCCCTGAATTGCGAAATTATCCCATGCATGTGGTTGTCTTGACGACGGCTAAAATATCTCAACTCACTGGTTTAATATGTTGGAAATGCAGCATAGACTTTCCAGATGTCACCCTAAAGTAAGTTCTCCACCACTCTCCTCTACCTTTTCACTCTTCCTGTATGGTTTTGTCCTAGAGGAAAATAATCTCTAGCAGAATCTAATGGTATTCATCTACAATCTTGTAGTATACTCTCTATACTCTCTACTCTCTGTAGTATAACTCTCTACTGTTGAGTTTATGAGATTTAAGCAGATGGTAACCTTGGTGCAACTGTAACCGGAAGAATTGTCTATAGTGAGCTAGCGGTTGAGTAGGTTGCACAGCAGCTTTAGTTGCTATCACCATAGCAGGGATTGATTTTACCTCTGAAAATTTGCAGATGGGCATTATTGTAGCCTCTGCCCCTGTACCAAAATTTATCTCTCTTTGCATCTTCATGTTAACCCTTAAGAACCAAAACAGAGAAAAAAGTTGAACTTGTTTCTGGACCTTGTCTCCATCGGACGGTTTCCAGGGATTTGTCGGTACAAAAGTTGCACTTACAAAGTGACAAACAACTTTCACTCACTCAATATTAATCACCGTTCCAAATGTTATCATGGGAGCAACTGAGAGAAGAAAAAGAAATGAAAACAGTGTGCGTCATTTTTTTGTTTACTTGATTGTTTGATTGTTTGATTTTATCTTCCTTTGGTTGGCTTCACTCATCATTTAATATCGCCCTGTCTCCCACCTGCACTTTATAACATTTGTTTAATTTTTAATTGGGTTCTGTCGCAAGAACATGAAATTCCATTTCCATGAAGGTCCACTTTTCCAGATTTCATTTTTTTCATGTCGATAATACTTTTAAAGACTTGATAGTGATACATTCATGAAAGTAATGTTAAGACTCGTTTTCGAATCGAGATAAGCCTGAAACATATATCAACACCATTCTCATGGTTGCATCTATCTCTGAAAAGAATTATCAACCCAAAATAACTCAAGACTGCAAAATAGACATTAGCGATTTTCGCATGACTTGATTCTTTTGTAGTACCTTAAACTTTGATGCAGGTGATGAGATGTATGAAATTAGTGAAAAATATGGAAATGAAACGCAGAGCCGATGAAATTAAAGAGTCTTGCCTTTGTATGTTATTCCTTGTTTAAAATTCTTATGATTATTTCAACAGGGAATCGGCTGACAACTATGGGCTTTTTATCGCAGATGATGATGGAGAAGTCAACTGGGATTTCCCGTGTCTTGATCCCAAAGAAGCTGTTGCAAAATTTGGTTTTAGATTCTTAGCTTTAGTCGAAGTAGAGCCAAGAGAACAGAACTCACCTACGCCTCCCGTGTAAGTACACAGTCTGTAATAGAGGCATTCCATGCATTAATTTCTTGAAGTGAAAAAGTTTTGAGAAGAAACAAATTTGGTTGATGGAGAGAGGTACATCTAAAAGTTGTGAATGTTTTTTCTACCTGTAAAAGTTGACATACATTCTATGTAGTCAGTAAAAAAAATTTTCTTACGATTTTCTCAATTATGTCAATTAGATCAGCCATTTTTACACTTAGGAAATAAGATGTGCTTTTTGGGACGAAAATATCTTTCGAAAAATGTAGTGTAACTTTTCCTGTTGTAGACTTTAAATGGACAAAAATGTTGATCAGCTTACAGCCTTTAGGTGCTTCTTCGCTTTTTAGTGAAATTCCCAGAAAATAAGAGCTTGTTAGTAAAGCCAATTGTAAGATTCAAAGTCGGCAAGGGAGGTACATTTTTGAGCATCCTACTGGGTGCAGAATTTATTACTTTAATACGGTGCTGCATATATCAACATTGAAACTATGTATCTCATTTGCAGTGTCTCAAAATCCCCACTCCCATTTTATTTTATAAAAGAAGAACAACCTATAACCATTGCCGCAGATTTTCTCAGAATAATCTGCGGAGAAGAACAATCAGAGGAGTTTTCAAAAAAATGACATTGAGTATTTTTCCATCTAAAAAATTAAGTATGACAAGAAGTTAGCCAACGTCGCAAAAAGAGATCCACCTTCCTGCAGTTTCATCATCGATATCTGGCATAGAGCTGTTTGGACATTATGTCAGTTTCCTTATCACTTTTATGTCTAAAAACTGTGTAACACGCTGAACTGTCCATGCTACCAAGATCAGCACGGATTCAGTTTCTCCACTTGTTTAAGACCAAAGAGTGATTCAAGGAACTTTTTGTTTTTTATTTTCAATAAGAAAACAGACTAGAAAGTGAAGTTTGAAGAATCAAGTAACTTTTCAGTAATCTCAAAGATTGTAATAAATTTTACTTTTTATTTGCAGGGAGGAACCACCAATTCCAGAGGAACAATCTCAACCCCAGTCCAAAGGTAAACAGAACCAAGATAATTGTCGCTTATGATAAAATAGAACGATCCCAGTTTTTAATTCTTTTTAGAAGTAACCTATTTTTGAAGTACTTGAATATTTTTTTGAAACTTTTCGAAAATCAAGACATCACACAATATTCTTTGAAAATTAAAGTGTCAAAAAGGAGTCCTGAAATTTGAAGTCCCATCCAACCAAAATAGCCTAAAAATTAAATTCGAAAGTATGTTCAAGCCTGTTCGAAAATTAAAAGTATGTCAAACATGAAGCAAACACAAGTGCAGAAAATTTTATACTAAACCCAGTTCTATGTTTTGTCCATGATGCAGCAATGCCATCATTAAATCATGTTACAAAATTTTTCTGACTGACAGTTCCGAAATGCAAGAATTATGTATTGTGTGCCCAGATCATGCCCAGAAAATTTCTCAAAAGTTTCGGATTTTTGAAACTTGGCTGAAACGCCAGTGAACATACCAATTTCAGGCACCATAATCTAAGAACATAACCGTGCTCAGAGAAAGAGTCCTCAGTGTAGCAAAACCTAACATTGAGTTATTGGTGAAAGAACGCACAGGAACAGGAGTGTTCCACTAACACTCACGGGGAATCACTCAAAAATGTTGAACCAAACCGGTGTTATGATGGTTCTAATTTTCTGGTTTAACGAACGTAGTTTTGAGAAAAATTTATTTTAAAATTCTAATCTACTATGTTCACTGCACCAAATTACCGGAAAATAATGCAAATGCACAACCTATATCGGCATCGCTGTTGCCAGATAGTGTTATAAAATGTAATAACACACATTCACAAGTTGAATGGGAAAATGTGCTAAATTTTAGGTTTATCTGGCAACATGATTGCTCCCAATTTATCATTTTAGACATAAGAGAGAGTGCTGCTGAAATCTCAAAACTCGATTTTTTTTGCCTGACTGGGCAAAATAGCCTGTTGAAAATTTTTTATGATAGAAGTTGACCAACGCATGTATGATTGAGTTAAAAACGAACCAAGGCGTTGTTGCAAGTAAATAATACAATTTTATTCTGAACTGAATTGTTTTGACCTAGTAGCCTTCATCAAAGTCACCTCGAACACATGTTCATATTAAAATCAACCTATAGACGCTATTAGCGGCACATCACACAAAAGCGATATATATTGATTTATTCGCATTAGTAGCATTGAAAGAGGTTACGCGAATGTTATTGTTTGGATCAAATTCGATATAATAGAGAATCCCTGATGACGTCGCCACTAATAGCGTCTATTTCATCAATGCAGGTTAACCAAACAATCATTACTCTTCATACACACTCAGCAAATTTTGTCTCTATGGACTGAGGTTTCATTTTGTGTCACAAGTTGGCAACGTTTGAAATTCATTGTTTTCAACTGTACCTTTTTAGCAAGTTTTTTTTAAAAAATTGACTCACCAGTTTTTTCTGCTGTCCTTAGCCCAACGCCAATTGGAAGTAGACATGATGAGAATGCAAGGTCATATGAAAGCACTCCTATTCCAGTCATTCAAAGTCCACATCATCAACAGAGTGCGCTCAAGAACAGAAGTTTTTCTAGGTGTTTCCGGAGAGAAAGTTGAGATCTATCCTGTTGCTAGTCAAAGAGGACCATTCTGGTGGTCCAAAAGCAGATCTGCCACTTACTCTATCGACTCAGTTGTTGCCTGTGATCTAAGGGAGAATAAATCAAATAACAAAGCTGTATTTAGGTGAGACTCTCATTCCCTTTACTTCATTTTAGTACTTTTACATTATTTTACGCAAACTTCGAAGCATTTAGAATCTCACCAATCAATTTTTTCAGTTGTTACGTCACTGCAAAATTTATTTAGATTCCTTGTTTTAACAGCAGGCTGATAATTGAAATTAATAGACAGAGCCACAGGTATAGAAAGCAACAGGAGAATAAAGTGATTCTATTGGCTGAAACGGGTGGTTCTTATGAACTAAGGGAGAAAATGATGGACTAACTATGGGGTGTTTCGTGGGTTGCCAATAGTTAGTCTACTACTTAACTCCTTTGCCCATTGCAACCAGCTGCCTCCACCAATAGAATGGCTCTATTTTCTCTTCGTCTGTCACCTTGTCTCTCAATTTCACTAATTAGCTCAGGAAATTTCACCAATCAAGGTATGAGTTGGACTTCTCTGCCAAACGGAACTATGTACATTATGACGTCAGCCCTGTCAAGCATATATCCTTATGGGTCTCAGGGCTCATGTCTTAATGCACATAGTTCTGTTTAGCAGAAATACGTTCATTTTGCAATAAAAAACTACTATTTCCTGCTCACCAAACAGAAGCACCTATCTACGAATGGAAACTAATGGCACAGCACCTATCTATAGATGGACTTTAATGGCACATACAACTCCTTGATATTAAATGATTTTAAACCTTTTATCACTGTTAGGATTCTTCTTTTCTGTGAGTGAAGAAGCTTGTGGAATGATCTTGAAAAAATCTATGGAAAATTTTCACAATTTTTTGGAGATTTTAACCCCAATTGTTGTTCAGTAATAGGCCAGTTGTAAACTTCTTTGGAATCCATGCTGTCTTTTTTGACTTCTGCATGCAGTGGTGTTGCTGTTTTCATTTGCCATTATTCAATGGGAAATTGGTGAAAATATAAGCCGCCTTAATCCACTTTTGTGAGAGGAGAGTTAAAAGTTTCTCTCTTTTATGTACTCAAAGCTCAAAACAGGTGGTTTCATTTATACTTGACAATATGTTTTCTCTCCATACAGATTAGTGTATGATAACTCAGGAGCAAATAGTTCGGATGTTTCAAGCTCACTTCATCATCAGCCAGTAACGTGGAGCTGTTTTAAGCATCATGATTTTGAGGCCGAGTATAAGGTTTCCGAAGAAATAGTTCAGAAAATCAATTTGATTCTAGATTCAAGAAATAGTCAAAGGAGAGCAGAATATTTAGCAATCAGAGAAAGGAAGTCACATCGGAGGAAAAGTTTTAATTTTGGACCAAGATGATTCACCCTTTTTTATCATCTATTGAAAGGTAAGTGCCGAAGAATTTAAAAACAAGCAGTAAACAAGTTAACTTTCACGAACATAAAAGGAACAGATCAAAGACTATTTTATCTTAAAATCAGGGATAGGAAATCTTATATATTTTGATGCAGTCAAAAGTTACAAAGGTCAACCTCAAGTGCACCAAGCACTGATTTAAGTGGACTCTTCAGTTTGAAGTCAGTCCGAAACCATGAAGTTACGTTTTTCATTTTGTTTTAGACAAAATTCTGTGGTTGAATTTTTGGTCCAAAAAAGTCGAATAGGCTTCCATATTTATTGGCTGCTATTGAAATAACTTTGGACTGAAGTTTCCTGTTAAATCGGCTCTCGGTACGCTTGAGACTCGCCTTAGTACCTTTTAACTGTACTAAAATTTGACAAGATCGTTCAAAATTTTTATTGCAGGTGTAAAATTTCTAAGTGTTCGGGTTTCAGTCGCAACATTCTCCCTTAATATTGTCAGCCAAACGCTCGGTGGCTGAAAACAGCAAAAATGTTTAGCAACAAAACTTGGTTCATAATTTTGAAAAATATACGTACAGCTGATTACTTTGTTATGTCAAATAGTTCTTGCTTCCTGTGCTTCTAATATTTTCTTTACTCTTTCACAATTGAATGGGTCAATTGAAGGAAGATGTAACCACCAAAATTTAAGTTTTGAAAAAACATGATATAACTTTATTTCTTTGACAATTCCTCATATTTTTGTTCGGAAAATTCATCGAATGTTCTACATACCATCTGTAATAAGACCCCAGTAACACGACAAAAGGTCAGAAAAATAGGACAAGAACTAAAAGATTTTGAAATTTTGGTGAATATGCCTCTCCTCCACAGAAACGCTCAGTACTTCCAATTTTAAACACTCAAGTAGCAAGCGCATTTGTGCTTTTACTCGTGGCTTTTACTATGAGGAAGCACCCTGCGCTGGGAAAGGTTGCTCGGAAGTTACTCCCTTTTTTCTGTAAGCAGATATCTAAATATTATAAATATATGTTTAAAGAACAATTTTGGTAGAATCATTGGCAATAAGATGCTTAAAGAATAGTATTTCATCAAGAACTCAATCTCTGAAGATTTAGCGGTTATGTCCTTTTTAAAGTAAGCATTTAATTATATTTTTGATTATTTTTTCTGTTTCAGACTAATAACGTGAAGGCTAGTGGAATATGATGTAATTTAAGTTAAAATGAGTCAAATTCTTGGCGTCTTTGTTCCTATTTTGTTAGACGTTTTGAGGTCAGGAGTGATGCAGAGCAGTCGTGCAGCAGGACAACATTCTTAACCGTTTTAAGCAGAGGTTTCAATTTTTTTAAATCAAGTTTTATGTTTTGATCTTTGAGAAAGGCTTCGTATTTTACAACATTTGAATCTTGTTAACTGCAAGATTTATCCCTCTAATCTCAATCTAACCCACTACTTTTCCTTGTGTCTGTTTTCAAATCTAAATTTCAGAATATTATTCCAGAAAATCCACCCGGTTGCCTTTTTTGATTTCTTCATTTTACAAATTGGGACATTTCTAACACTTATTCTAAAAAATCAATGATTTTTTTTCTTCTTCGCTGGAATTGGATTAAGTACTGTAGGTTAAAAATAAGAGCTTACAAAATGATTCTATGAAACTCATTTGTGTAAGTAAGTTGATTGGATTTTAATCATAGTTGAGTCAAAATTGTTTGTATGAGTCCTGCCTCCCTCTTTTTTCTTCTTTTTCAGTTTAGCTTTTCCTCTTATCAGTGGAGAAACTATCAAAACTCCTTTTCTCCAGTAAGTTATTTTCCTAGCTGATGACGTTTAGCCCAATTTTTAATATTTTTATGACCTAGGTAAAAACCCAAGCAGAATTTTTTTCACGGATTGAAGTTAGAACAATGAGTGTTAGCACCTAAGAACATAGTTACTTGTTTGAGGTCAAGGTGTCCTGTTATTTTTATGAGTGATCACAACAATAGCTTGGATCTTATGTTAAGGCTGGGTTTCTTGTATTAATTTTTACACGCATATTTTCCCCTTCATTTTTCTTCTTTTTAATTTATTTTATAGTCCTTTTTTTATACACTAAGTGATGACTCCGTTACTGCCATCTGTTTTCATACTAATTCCTTGGTGTTTTTACATATTCTGTAACTCAACTGTTTCTATCAAAGTAACTTCAGGACTCGGTTTACAGTTCATTGTTGAGGCCGTACCTCATCCTCAGTGTAGTTCAGCCTGTCCATTTCCAGTGTTCGTCGTTCTTTTGATCACTTTTTATTCAGTTAAAGCTGTTTTCATTTTATCTTGTAACCTAAAAAGCTTTTATTTTTATAACTCTACTCTATTTTAAATGCAGTAATAAAATTTGTTTTATCAATTGTTTAAAAATTCTTGTTCTTTTCTGTGACGAACTTATACGTTTCACCACTGAACCAAGAGCTGAATAACTGTCGTAACTCCTTCGTTTTTCCTCCTTTTTTTGATGTCTTAGGGACTTTCAAACATTACTATTCCCATTTTTATAAAATTTCATGTGGAGTCGAAAGAACCCTGCACAGAGCATGGGGTCAGCGGCTCTCGATGAAAGGCGATGAAACTTTAATAGATTGATATAAAGTTCATAAGTAAGGGAAAGCCAAAAAATTAGCTCATTTTAGCAAGTAGGATCCGAGATATTCGCAATTGAATCAGGACTATTTTCTATCATGCCGCAGCATGGCAGAAGAATTCCGAGTCCCCTCTCCTCAAGTTCGGCGTTCTCGATCAGACCTCTCGTCACTCACGTGAAGATAGGTGCTTATACGCTCGGCCGGTGCGAATGCCGTACTCCCTCCCTCTCCCCGCATCTGTCAACTTTGTTTCAGCAAGTACATTTCAGATTAAACTGGCCGGCACAGGAGAGGTGCGAGAAGCAGAGAACTCCATATCGCACAGCCCGAACGGAGCGTCCTAATGTAAGGAGTGAGTGTAAACAATGCGTCATCGTAGTTACCTGGTGGGGAAGGGGGTTTCCTGGCCGAAGTGCTCAAGCAAGATAAGGCGACACGGAGAATTTACCTCCGCCACACAGAAAATAGTCCGGGTTCAATCACGAATATCTCGGCTTCTACTCGCAAAAGTGAGCTAATTTTTTGCCGATCCCTTAATTATGAACTTTATATCAATCTATTAAAGTTTCATCAAGAGCCGCTGACCTCATGCTCTATGCGGGGTTCTTTCTAGATTCCTATGATTCTCATTTTATTTGAAATTGCTTTCAACACGCAACGCTTACCAAACAATCGATTCCAAGGCCATAAACAACCAACGAGATGTTCATCAGATCTTTCCTTCCTTTTTTCTCCCTTTATATCTCCCAAAACAGAAAAATCCTACACAGAACTCGTAGCCGTTCTGAAGAAAAACTGAGTGTCAAAGAGGGAGGAGGAGTTGTCTAGATTTTGTTCGGCTTTCGTGTGCATTGAGAGTTGAAAGCATTTCCAAATAAAATGAAAATCGAGAAACCATAAACGGCTTTTTTTTTATCGTGGCGCAGGGTGGATGGTAGTCAAACACACTGGAGCAAAATCCTGAGCGAACCGGACCAATCCTAAGCTTTCCAGGTGATTAAAAATGCAAACTTGGTGGTTGCTCTGATTTGTCATTGTTTTGACTTCTTAAGGACGGAAACTTTCTCGAATTAGGTTAGGATCACATTGGAACGCGATCTTCCCCCACCTCGAAAGTCCGTTCCATCCCAAGGTAGATTTACACAGGTATGGAAAAGTTGAAAATTTCCCATGAGCCTCAGTACGTGTCACATGACCTCGTGACGTAGGTTAAGGGGCCCGTTTTTTAATTAAATTACAATCAAATTAACATTCAAACGTTTGTGCGTTTAAACACTAAAATTAATATCGCATAACCAAAATTGTGCAAAAAATCCCACAAAATTTTGACAAACGATAAACCGAACATAATAAATCAAAATAATCAAAACATCCAAAATGGCTGACGTTAAGGGGCCGCTGGAGAGCCAATCAGAGGCCAGTTGTTTAGTTCTGTCCATACCTGTGTAAATCTACCTTGGTTCCATCCGGATCCACTGGAACACTCCGACCGCAGCTAAAGAACGGAGTAAAAAAATACCGATATTCATCACAATCCACCGGGTTCCGGGAAAAAAAAAGCCCTTCAGCTTCATGTTGGCGCAAAACTGAGTTAAACCTCTCACAACTTATTCCTCATGACACCAGCATGAGTTTTCCTTTGAAATCTCAAAAATTATAATTTTTTAGCCAACTTGAAGAGGGATCGATTGTCTGCTTAGGAGGCAAGGCCAAATCAGCGAGCTGATGATTGAAAAGGATAGAAAAGAACAAAGGGGAACGGGAGTTTTAAAAACATAAAAAATCGAGTTCTCAGAACCTGGAGGCAAGAAAATTCAATGCTTTTATCCAAAAAATTATCTTTTATTCGATGTTTTCAAAAAATGCAAGAACACAATGGGCGTAGGATAAGATTGGTAGGCACTCTGCATTCATTGTTCTCTAGAGACACATGTATCCATAAAAAAGTGTCCTCAGAGAATTAACAGAAATACGTACATGAAAACAAATGTCTAATCCTGGAAGTTATATTCTTCGTGCGGCTCTAAATTGTTATTTGTTCATCCTTTTCACCAATAATTGAAATAGGAGTTAAATTGTCCAGTGGCCAGTGGTATTATCTATGGCCCTGCGTGGTTAGATAGAATTTTATCATCCTAAAGAAAAGCTCTTATAGTCTAAAGTATGGTATATGAAGGTATCATTATAGTTTCTGGTGAGCTATTGATAAAGTTCTGTTTTAAGGAGAAACGATAGGAGGACCCTGAATGATAGCTATCAGAGTCTGCAGAATCAGAGAAAATGGGCTGTTGTCATGTACATCAGTTTTACAGACTAGCGACCCAATGGGCAGAGAGACACCAGGCAATAATGATTCAACTCCGAACTCGTACAGAGCTCTGTTAAAGCCGCTCGTTTCTGACAATAGTGCCCATATTAGAATGTAACGATATTTTGTAGTAAGTAGGACCGGTAAGGATTCTAAAACCCTACTTCAAAATATATCACTTCTACTTAAGCTATGATTATTATACTTATCACCAATTGACACTTATAGAAAGTCTCAGCAACAAGATAAATACTTCCTAAACTTTTACTTGACTGTTGATAACAGTTATACAATTTTTAACTTACATTAAATACTTCCTAAATATCACAGTTAATTTTTTTTAAAATCATTATTATTTTTTATTATCTTATTTTTCCTGCAAACTTGTATAATCTTGAACAAAGCTAGAAAGAAAAAATTACTAATGCAGGTTAAGGCATTTTCTTTTCCAATCAGGAAAACTGTTTCAAATTAGTAGCGGCTGCGGAAAATGCTGCTTGTGGTCACCCCTGGAACATCATATAAAAAAGTAGATTAGGTTTGTTCTGAATATGTATGCTCTAGCAACTGCGGCATTATTCCTAGTTATAAGTAGAAAGTCTCCATAAATCTACCATAGGCCATTTCGTTAATGATAAAAATATAAATGTACAGAGTAGAAGTGGCAAGAAAATAAATCAAAATTCACTAGAGCACTATGGGAAGAGTACCTTAGGAGTTTTTGAAATGGTATCTTTGCAGAAAAATATTGCAGATAATTAAAATTTGTAACATAAAATATAACACAAATTTTCAAATAATTCCTCGGCTCAATTCCTCCATATTTGCCAGTCTTCTTGCAGGGGCGCTACCAAGCCAACAGAGACAAGGTTTCACAGTCCACGTCATGAAAACTGCTGCGTGAGGGACAAAGCTTGCCAGTATTTAGATAGTTATGACGAGAATCAGCCTAATTGCATTTCATAATGCCTAATTTTGTCTAAAATTGTATTTTTTTAACAGAGAAACAAATTATGTACAGCCTTGAAAATTTCTGTACATTTTCCCTGGTTCAGGAGGAATTTACTTGCAAAATTTAAAGTCAGAATGCTACTAACTTTTCTATTAAAGAGCTAGGGAAGAATGCTGTAGGCATCTTCATGCGTTGTCAAAGTTCCTCAGATAAGATACAAATTTTTGGTGTTGTGAATATTTTCCTTCCAACTATCAAGAGAATTTTATTCAGAAACAAATGTATGAGTCAGACAATAAAATACCTATATTGATAGCTTTCCACAAAAATAAATAGTTAATTAGAGGAATTTTGGCTACATCTGAATGTTTAGAGTGTTTTTCCTTAGCATGAAAGAATCATCAAACAATAGACTGCGCCATGAACCTCTCATAATAGTTAATTAAATTATTATTCCTTTAAATTAGTATTTAAGTCATTATTTACTTAAGTGCTTCAAGAGATACTGTTACATTTAGCATGGCCACTCTAGTCTAATATAGCATTCACCACTTACAAATGATAAAAATACTTACAAAGTAATGAAGGTCGAATAGTAATATAGATGTCCATAATATTATCTGAACACACTGGGCTGATTCAAACCTTCTGTCCCGCAAGACACTTGCCATCAACCAATGTCACTAGATTTGGAAGCTTCGGAACTTTGGTAACTTCAAGGTTGTTATCACTAATATTTAAAACCTGTGATAATGAAAGACATTAAAATAGACAAATACAAAAAATGCAGCTGACTTAAAGAAGAAATTTTCACAAGACAAAAAATCCAGGGATTTTTCAAAAATATTTCAAAAAAAAAAGATTCAAGTCTTGCCATACTCTTTTGCTCCAGGAAAAAAAGTAGCAATTTTGTGTTTATCAAAAACGAAGAATTCACGAAAAGCGGAATAATAAAAATACTAGGTAAAACTTGTCTCATGGTATACTTTTGAATACCACCCTATTATTCAACTTTGAGATTCATTTGTGTCTTAGGTTTTCACGAAAATTTGGACCATATTTTACAAAGAGGTACTACATTTTCTGGTTCATTTGTAAAAACACTTATGTGCACAGGGAAACTAATGGTACAGGTGCTGTTTCTATACTGAGGCAATTGCAAAATGTGGTCCAACTGATAAGAGCTTGCTTTAATCTTCAAAAAAAAAATAGCACTTATTTAGTATTATGCAGACATAAATAATTAAGATAAAAAAGTGAATTTTACCTCACAGGCTTGAAGATTGCATAGATTTCCAAGACATCGCCTTTTAATTTTTCCTAATTTGTTTTTACTTAGATTAACTTCCCGAAACAATGATAAATACTGAGTGTGGTAAAGGGCAGTCAGTTCCATGCAAGATACATCGAATACTCCAGTGAAATCTTCCAACTCCGATAGTTTATCTTCAATCAGAAACTTGCTCCCTGACAGAAATTGAAATTAAATAATTTTTTAATAATACATAGGGGAAAAAACGAGAGAAAGAGTAGAGAGTTGTTAAATGATTATTAAAGCTACTGCATGAGGAACAGTATGATATTGCAGCTCAGTTATGAGTTAGGTCTGGGACTCTCCTGTTTTATTCCAAGCATTCCTTTACAAAGTCTCTTTTTAAATGTTTTGTGGTACACATGCTGAAAATTGAGAGATCCTAGAACGCTATCCTTCTTTTGCACATTTAGTCAAGGGGATTATATGTTACAGCAGTTCCAAGTTCCAAAAGCCCAACTCCTATTTGTAGTTTAAAAACTGACCTATAAAATGGGCAGTATATTGAAATTGGACCCTTTTTTGTTACACCAGAATGGGCAAAAAAAAAAACGCTTGATACGCATGTCACAAGTGAGGGGGGGGGGGGTCGGTTGGTTTTCCCAAGTTTTCCTTTCGATAATTACAACAGCAGTCCAAACTGGAACAAGTTTACTCAAAAATTGAAAAATTTATGGCGTATAGAGTGTTTCTTTTGCCCATCCTGGTTGTATGTTTAGAGGAGGGAAAATTGAGCATTACATTCTTGCCTCGATCTTAAGGTTTTATTAATTAAAATGTTCAGTTACCAAAAGCACTAGTAGTGAATAAGAGGATCATAGAGGAGAAAGATCATTTTATTAGAGAATAGCGGGATGAACTTACTTAAATCATCATAGTAATTTTTCCGAGTTGGGTCACACTTTTTGAGTAATTCTAATTTTTCATAAATCTCTGCCCGTGATGATTCAAACCTCAAATGTCGAGCTATCGTCACAAAAGACAATAGAGGCCCTGAAATAAAATTAGAAATAAATTAGATTTGATAGATTCCTTCGATTTCTTTGATCACTTTCGAATGGACCATAATTGGTGACCAAATATTTTCCTCTTTTCAAATTTTTTCATGGTGTTTGCCACTCTGCTAAGAAAATTATTAATACTTATTTTTTTTAAAAACCTAATTTTTTAAAAAAAATATTATAGATCTATGGTGAAACTGCAAGGGCGAATATCTCAGTTTGCAATGTTGCAAACTTTCTAACATAATTTATTTTTTAAATGAAAAACTATGTAGCATCATACACAGACGGCTTCCGTAATTTATCTTTTGATGAGTTAAGAATATTCTGCTAAAATTTTATGCCTTGATGCTGGTTTGTTCTCCTTGAAAGAAATAAAATAAGAGCGTAGTTTTTGAAAAATCACAAACGAGATCTGCGTTTTTGCAATTTCACAATTGAAAAGTCTTTGCTACGGACAGTTCAGCTTCAAAAATCTACTCAGAAACAGCTAAAATATCTGGTATTCCCACAAACAGACTAGAGAACAGAAATTCTGTTGAATTCTCTGCACCAAAAGTGAATAAATGACAGAAAATTCTGAAATGAAGTAAATTATTGAAAGAAATGGTCAAGGCAATCTCAAAAGTTTCAGATCAAAGATGTTCGAGTTAAAATATAGGTGGACACTTACATTTACAGTCTGGTTCAAGTTCCAATAAACTGATAACCGATTCCAGAAGAGAGGAGTAGAAATCGACTAATGCCGAATTGAGATTGTTAATGAAACTAGGTTTGCGGAACCCGATCATTTTTTGTTGATCGTTAGACTCAGTGACAAGTTTCAGCTCTAAATCACTTTTCAGTTCACCATTCACAAACAATGATAATTTTGATTGCTCGTAGCTAATAAGTGACTGATCCTGCGTATCTTTTATCTGCAAATGCAATGGTCAAAAGGAGATTAGTGTGAAATGTTCAACAAGATAATAGAATAGTGCTGGGTCCATACTATTCTAAGAGAAAGGGGGAAGCAAAAAATAAATTTTCACTTTAGAAATAAAACTCTAATTTGAGTCAATGAAAAAAAACTTATGAAGGAGCGCTTTTATTTAGGCAGATGTATTGAGAATCATCAACAATGATGCCACTAGTATCTGCACCATGATTTTAGGGATTTTCTTTCCAACATTATCCAAGTATAATCCAGAGGTAATAGGGAGGAAAGTGACATGCTATAGATAAAATAAAACAGTGTTAAAATACAAAAAAGAAAACAGGATCGCAACCTCAGCTTGTGTGGAATGAATGAATTTTCATTGTTGAGTTATTTCACCAAGAAAAATTACCTCATGTTATTCCTCATAAGGGCCAAAAACGTTTGTACCAGCCACACTGAAAATTGACAGGGACCATAAGTCAATAAGTGACAAGTTGTCTTATTATCTTGGAAGTAGGAGGGGTGACGAGGCCAGTAATTGGAAATGTAGCTCTCGTTTCTTTTTTGTTTTCAAGGAATTTATTACATGGAACCTAGAAAAATGCCAATAAATCCAAACCAATCTCAGAATGAAAAACTTACCCACACATGAGATGCAGTCTCACCGTTGCATGTCTTCCATTTCCCATCACCCAAGCCTGTTATACTCAAAGCCGTATCATTAGGACAAACCGGTTTGTTGAAAGCAACCCAAGTGAAATTTTCACTTATACAAGCTTGCGTTAGAACAAGGGGCAACTGTTGCTGAAGATCCAAGAGCCAACGCTGATAGAACCAGCCGCTCTGATCATTTGGATCTGTAAAAGCTGCACTTTCTACCAGGGTGAGTTCTGGAATCAGAAAGCAACAGGAAAATGAGAATAACAGCAGAAGTAATGGAGCGGAAAATACTGCATTCTTGAAAAATAATTTTAGGAATGCTCAATTTTTTTGTCAAATGCTTGGTGCCCAAAAAATTGCAACTTCTTCGGCAAATCCGCATGCAGGTAAGTGTACAAAAATCTAGATTTAGCCCAAAAAGTATTTTGAAGGACAAAAATAAATATTTCAAAGACTTAAATTGGCTATCCATTCAATATGGATGGGTTGAGCAAAAATGACTGAGGAGTAAAAGACTGACTACTGGCAGCAAGATTCATCTTCGTATAATAATGGACGATGAAAGTCACAAAGAATCATTTACAATTAGGTTTGTCAAAGTGGGTTCTGTCTGGTCGATAGATTGTTTAAAAACCTAAAATTGAGATATCTGAAAGTAGCTTTTCACTTGACAAAAGACAGTTGAAACAGGGTCACTAAAAATGTTATCTTTTTGCGCATCAGTAATCGGCAAATGCACCATTTTCATCACCATTATAGCAGACTGAAGTGTAGACCTCGATTTACATCATGGTTTGTGCAGCCTTACAGATAAAAAATCAAGTACATTTTAAAGAATTTCCAAGCGCTTTTCACGACTTTCTCCATAGTTTTTCTTGAATGCACGGTTTCTCCCTGTACCTATACTCCGGGTCCGGACTTTCTTACTAACTTTGAAGGCAGATTGAGATTTATTTTGTAAATGAAATGTCTCTAAAAACGCTTTTTATAATGCAAAATGATTTTATATATTATTTCATAAAAAAGCGAGCATTTCATGCTGAAAACAAGAACACTTTTCAAGCAAGTTTAAAAAAATTAAGCACTTTCTATGCCTTGAAAAAAATGTCAAATTCAACACATGCACATTTCAAGCGGTTTTCAAGGCTACACAAACCATCCATCATCACTCTTGTCTTCTCATCATAGATTTCAGATAGTCACTGAATAATAGGATAATATTAGGAGCAAAACCTTTGATGTGTATGTCTCTGTCAATTGGCCTTTCCCCGGTGGCATCTGGGTGAACTAATGGAAGATACTGGCTCCGATAGTGCCATGAAGAATAGTTGGAGAAATTTCTATTAATTTTACTTGTGGTGTACTCCAATTCAGATTTTGCAGAGACTCCTGCTCTACCCACAACAAATTTTCTATAGTCCCAAGTGTGAACTGGAAACAAAATCATAACAACAAATTAAAAATTAGATCAGGACGTTGCCTGTGCGTAAGTGAGATGGCTGCAAATACAACCATGACTGACTGTAGTTACCATCAATATCGTGCAAAAAGAAAACGCACTCCTCAGTTGGTCTACATTTTGCCAAAAGGAGCTACTTTTCCTGGCTCACCCTCAAAAGCACCCATCTCCATATCAAAACTAATAGCACATGAAATAAACTAGAAAAAGAAGTTCCCAATGACATAATGTGGTCCAATTGCAGTGTTTCTAAAATTTTCAATCTTACTTTATGTTTTCAAAAGAAAGCAAACCTATATTTTTGCATGCAGTGTGTCCACTTAAACTTATTGAATTAAATTCATGCAAATTCTTATGAGAAAAAAATAAATTTTCCTCCAATAAACTAAAATTTAGTAGGAAGGTTGCTAACATCGCAAACGGCTCAACTATCCCCACTAACATATACGAATGGACCACTTGTTTTTTCTGATAATCTTTTGCATCAAGAGAATGCTGGTAAGAACAACACAAAGGATGAAAAATATCTGAAAAAAACCTACATGAATTGTTCGTAAATGAGCACCGAGCAGTTCGAGAAAATCAATGAAAAATATTTTTCACCCATTTCCTCCGTTGTACACCACTGGTTGCAAAGAAAGAATTCTTCACACAGCCACAAACTCCCTCATAAATGGAGAGCCTTGAGTGAAATAATGCTATGGCAGTTAGAAAAAACCCTCAGTCATATGCAAGGGTGAAGAATTTCCCAAGCTTTAAATATCATTTAAAAGTTTTGTGTGAAATATCTCTGACGTAAGGTTAAAGTATGAGATTTTCTTCAAAATCTACACAGTGTAGAAAGCTTTCTGAATTAAGTTTCTCAACAAATACATAATTATACAAATGTTCAACTTATTGACTTAATGATGAAGATGAGAAAAGAACAATTTTAAGTACTGATGACACATGAGAGAACTTACAGTTTCTTTCATCGAGCTCTAAATATTTGGTGCAGACTAAAAGTTCTCGATCCCAATCAGGTTTTGGTGCAATGTTGTCCAGAGTCCAACAGCGCTGGTGCCACGCACAATATGATTTAGGGTTCACTTTCAAGCATACCTCTGTCAAGTACAATTCTTTTGATACTAACTTTTCAAGGTCAATCTCTGGATTTGTGCACCTGAAAAATTCAGGGAGACAATACAGGATACTTCACAGCAAGGCAATGAAGGTTAAGATCTTCTTCAATTCTTCCATTGGAATAAAAAAATTTACAGACAAAAGTCAAAATCAGTGGCTGAGGCAAATGAAAAGAATGACTCTTTCTTTATTTTTATTGAAACAAATTCTAAGTTCAGAAATTACATCAATCCTGCATCATTGCTACAGCTCATGATAAGTTTTAACTGTAAGATTTTGGGTTAATGTTTTTACGAAGTTTACTTTGTGACAAGATTTGCCCAAAACGTGAACATCTCAAATTGTTCACAGACGTCACTCATCTCTAACATTCACCAAAAATGTAGAGTGTCCTTGAGAATCAATGCAGGTATTCCAAAAATATTCGCCATCTATCAAATATTACTAATCATGTAGAATGCTACATTGTGTGCTCTGATAAACATGAGAAAGTACTGATTTATAGCAATAATTAAAAAGCACCATAAAAGGCAGATCCAAATGGTTTGGGAGTTACAATAAGTTAAGAAAAAATGCCTCTAAACTGTCGAGGCATTCTGTAACACTACCTCATAATGTGAAATAATTGTTTATATTTCTCGTTGAGAATGTAACAAAAATTCAAACAATAAAAAAAAATGGTTTCGTAAAATTTATTGAACTTTCAGCCTATTAAATACCCTTCCTAGGAGTAAAGGGAAAGGCACTTACGCAGAATTTTTGAATTCCAAAAGTATTTCCTTGCGAAAGTTCCAAAGAGTTAAAATATCAGGGTTGTGAACTAGCAGATTTTCACAAATAGCTAAAGCTTCGTCATCGAGTTCTTTTTTGTTGCGCTGAAAAAGATAGACAGAAAAATCATTGACTTTACACAAAATTTAAATCAGCAAACCTGCAACCTATGTGAAATTTTAAGTAAGGTCAATTTGTGAAGCAACTTTGGATTGTAGCCTCTTGCAACAATGTTCAATGATATTTGAGTAGTAAATTTGAAAACTACACAAGCTTACTAGCCTACATCTGATGTTGTGAGGGAGAGGGTACAGTATGCTATACCCAGGAGCGAAGAGCTAGTCTCCATAATTGCTCATAAATAATGACAGAAAAAGTTGAGAGAAAAAAAAAAGTAGCAAATAAGGAATAAGATTGTATGATTTTCTAGATATTTTATTGGATTTTACCTCTAGAATTAAACTAAAATGGGTTGTAGTGGGTCTGAATTTTAAAATTCCTTTTTGGAGGGAGGGGGAGGGGGAGGGGGAGGAGGAGGCTGGAGGCCACCCGGACCCTTATCTTCCCGTTAGAGATATTGTGTGAACATTACATCTCCTGATTGGGTGGCAGTCATTACAGGTTGCCATATCACCGAACCCACTGCAGTCACATCATAAATATAAATGTTGTAACCTGTTCAAGCCCAATTCACACTATTCAACTTTTCATCTGACAATAGTGGACAAAAAGTTAAACAGAAAGTAGAACGCAACAAAATTAGATTCTATTGTTGTTGCCATGTAATATCGTCAAACGGAGTAACTTCATCGCCTTCCAGTTCACGAAGATGCAGGGTTTCTACCGGAAGATTTCATTTTAACCTTCTGTTCAACTTCCCATCCAACTGACGCAACCAATTGGATGGAAAGTTGAACGAAATGCTGGATGTGATGTCATATTCAAGTTTCCATTCAAATTTCCTCAGATTGTTGTGTTCTCATGTCAGTACCAAGCATACGATCCAACTTTTCATTCAACAAAAAAGGAGGAAGAGTTGAATGCAGAGTTCCTGTAAATTGGGTATTACATGGAGGATCAAGTGACATTCTTTGAGGAAAACTGATGGGAGAAAAAAATTCCTTGCATAGTCAGCAAGCGCTAAAGAATTGAAAGCCAAAAGTACCTTTTCAAAAGCTTTGTTCATACCCTCCAGATATAGTTTCACCTTCTTTTGTTTCTCGATGCGCTGAAGTTCTCTCTGTTCTTCTGTTGTTCGAGTCTTGACCCTTCCGTGCTAAAACGATGAGGGTGAGAGAAAAATCACATGTAAATTAATGAAAATAACATCTTAACATTCTCTTCACATTATTCTTGTTACATTTTCCACAATCCCTTTTCATCACTGTGCCTTTGTTGCACTGAATTCAATTGGGAAAAACTGAATAAACGCAAAATGATTCCATGGTCAGGATATGTAAAGCAAATTAAGTTATCTCTTACAATTCTTGTTATTTACAGCCTCAAAAATTCACTGGAAAAAGTAGATTGAATTTAGCAGGAGGGAACCCGCATAATTACAGTGTTGTAAAAATTGCATACTCACGTTACCTAAAAAAGCAAAGGATAACGAATAGTTCTCATTTATTCACCAAAACTTGTTAATTTCAATGAAAAACGATTGTGCAAATTCTATTATTATGCATTATCAAGTATTTCTTTGAGCAAAGAAGAGGTTGCACGATTTTAAAACAATGTATTTGTATCGGTTCCCTTGTGCAAAGTATGATGCAAGTATTGTCAAAAAGTAAGCAGGAACTACAGGCCCTTGTCATCACTGTGCCTTCAAAGCACTGAATTCAATTGGGAAACACTGATTAGACGCAAAATGTTTCCATGGTCGGGATATGTTAAGCAAATTAAATATTAAAATAAGGTGCATCTGAACTGTGGGGAAGTGAGAGGGTTTTGTAAGAGTTCTACGCAACAGAGAAATCACTTACCATTTTGGTTTAGTAAATAGAGCAATAGTGACGAATGCGGAAGTGTAAAGGTATATATGAGAGAAGTATTAGACTTCCTGAAGTACCGCATACAACATATGTTGTAAAAATCCACAAAATTAGCTAATATATTTAATACAGTAGTTTATCAGTAGACGCACAACGTTATCAGTAAATTAACTTCAAATTTTTAGGTTATGTAAGCTATTTGTAAACAAAAATGGCGATGAATTTTACGCGGGTTTTTTGAATTGGCGAAGTCCCCGACGCAACGCGCTACGTTATGAGAGGGGGGGGAAGGTCTTCTGCCGGATTCCAAGGAATCGAAAAATAAAGTTCCACTTAAATGATAAGCTTATTCCAAAATACGCACAAATCCATCCGACCCAATTTCTTAGGAGAGACAAAAAAGTATGAAGTGCTCACTGCTTACCTAGAGAGCAACAGAAGCGTAAAAAACTCATAATACCTAATGCATTTTAAAATAGATTTTGGCTACTCTCGCATTTGTAGCGAGGAGAGGAAAATTCGAACGTGGATATCGATGGTGAAACTACCATACCACGCATCTCGAAAAAACGGCGTGACACGCGCATAGGCGCCTACAAACCCAACAGGGATACTTCACGCATTGCGCAATGCGTGAAGTATCCTTGTTAGGTTTGTAGGCGCTGGGAGCACGCCGCGCTGGCACTTGGGCTCGGATCACCGAGATCAATATTTGATTATTTTCTCGCGGACGGGATGCGACCTAAAGTGAGCGAGGCTTTCGAGAATAAGATCTAGGTGACCCGTAGTAAGGGGGCATGACCCCCCCCCCTCCCCTCCATTCGAACCATTTCCGAAAATAAGCTTCCCGATTATGACATGTCTATGTACCGAGGGGCCTCAGGATTTTATTTGCAACTACGATTACTAGCTCATTCGTAAAATCACATGTGCATTGTGAACAGAGTTGCTAAAAGAAATTTCATCGAATGAAATTTCATGAAATTTCTTTTTTCCCAATGAAATTTCTTTCGACCGACAAAATGTCAAAAATGCTTATTTTTTCTAACAGAATTTGTTTTTATTTTTAAAGAGAATAATATTCGTCAATTAGACCAGTTGGAGCACGGTCTTCTCTCAGCTTTTCTCTTCTGGTCTTCTCTTACTCTTTCTCTTCTGGCAGTTCTGGCTTATCAAGGGGAGGGGAACCGGGGACCCTAACTTCAAATTTCAAACTGTTTATTTCTGAAAAAAATCAGAGACAAATGAAAAAATCATTTAAATTGTTTCAAAGATAGTTCAAGATCCCTCTCTTTTGTACCAAAATAGAACGATATACTATTAGGGGGTACTAGGATTCTTTATAGTCAAGAAATTTGTTTTGCTCCAAATATGAAAGCTAACGTCTTACTTTATCCGTAAAATTTATTTTGGTGTTCAACTGGTACGGCTGTGCGCTGTGTGTTCAACCAAAATTTAAGAAAAAAAATTCAAAATTATGTTTTTGCTGTTTTACTCAACTTTCTGGGCATTTCTAAAGTTCCCTTTCACAGTTTACCACGTGCATACAAATGAACTTAAGGAGATTCATAAGTTTCAAGGGTTTAATCCTGAATTCTGCGTGTTAAATGAAATTTCACGAAATTTCATGAAATTTCATTATGAAATTTCTTTTTATAATCTTTCATGAAATTTCTTAACTCTGATTGTGAATCAAATGGTACATATACATTGTTTCTACACTGAGCGAGTTCCTAATTGCAAAATGTGGTCCATTTAGTGCCCGAAGAATATAATTTTGATTATTAAATAAAATGATTTTTTTTTTTTTGCCAGTAATTCTAATTTCAAAAAAGATAGCCTATACGCTTGATTCAGATTGTGGCCCTTGCTTTGATTATCATAAATTCTCATGCAAAACTGAGAGAGTCGCTGTTTACAAGATCGCAACTTACTCAAACGTGGTTTTGAATTCAATAAGTTTCGCATGAATAAAATGAGCTTTCATCAATGAACTGTGAATAATAAAAATTGAAGAGACGGTTCTTTGTGCACTGGTCCATTTGAAAGGCGTAGAGCATGGATGGACGGAGCATGAATGTCCTCCGGGTTTCTACGGGCACTACATAACGTATAAAGATGACTGTGGGTTTCTAACGGTATATGAGGACTTATATGTAACAATGGCGGATATGAAAAATTACCTTTTTGAAACACATTCAAAAAACTGTTTTGGCATCGAGAAAATTTTGAGAAAATACTTGAGCTGTGATCTTCGAGATCTGTACATTGTGCCAGAGCTGAACATATTAAATTTTTGTGTGAAAAAAAACGGTTTTTTAAGCGTGTTTCGAAAAGGTAATTTTTCACATCCGCCATTGTTACATATACGGCCTCAGATGCCAAAGTGTTGGGGGAAAAATAGAAAAAAAAGTTTAACCTATACCTATATAATTTTTTGAGAGTCCAAGCAGAGACGATATATTCTAGAGACTCCATACTATCTTCTCACCTATGGTGTAAAAGTGACTCAAGGAATCCAATGCTCTGATTCACTAATTGATGAACTGGATCAACTAAAGCTTCGAAACAAGTTTTAAGTATGAATAAACTCTATTTTTGATCTTAATGATCAAGAGCAGGTTCAAAACACTTGCAGAAATGCGTATCTCATGATCAAATGTCATTTTCCAATCATGTAATGTTTGATCTGGCCATATGAGAGGCCATATCAAAACTTATCAAATAAGGAATTGTAAGCGTATGAAACTCTTTTTTCAGTCTGTAAATGATCCAAATCCGCCAACAACAGGTTTAAAACACTAATTTCAAAAATGCAAGCCTCGTGATGAAGTGTCAATTCTAGGAGCCTAATCTCGGCATTTCTGCATTATTTTCTAACAGTTCAGGATATTATTCAAAATGCTGATGGAGTCTGAAAAAGCATCTTATTCTTGCTATCCTCAAGAATTATTACCCTTTTACTAACAGTAAAGAGGAATGTAGACAGTTTTTCTTCTTTCCTGGGAAATCGTGTTTTCCGAGATGCGCACCTCTGCACTTTCACCAACGATATGCAATAGAGGGTTAAAATTGAAGGTACCAAACATGCGATTGTGAGCTCACTCTATGTAAATTACAAGCCTTTTGAATAGGCACAAATTTTTTCAGCCTGATCGGAGGCAGCAGCTTGGGAAGTTCCCCTTGTAAGTAATTTGATGTACTGAAATTGCAAAACTATGCGGAAGTCTTTTGGTTATCCTGAAAATCTGAGGCTTTTGTGATACATTAATTCGAATTGCATACATTCAAAATAATTTTAGTGCGCTTGGGTTTAGCCACAGAAATCTCGTTGATTTTCAGGGACTGGTAGGTTTGAATGATCAAAGCTTCATACAATAAAAAATTGTTTAATAAATTAAAGAAAAAGATAGGCACAATAAGATTACACGTTGGTAAAAAATGACTTGACTCGATCAGTACAAGATCTAACAGTTTGACATAAAATTAACTAAAACTAACTATACTTAAAATACATTAGAGAAGTCATAAAATAAGAAAACTAGGTGAAATCGAGATCACAGAATAACAAGGAAGCCCTGCCCTTTCTAGATAGGGCAGAGATGAGACATTCATGAAGAATAGCACTGGAACATCCAATGAAGGCCACATCAATGTTTCTTGAAGGTTTCCAGAGGGAAATCATGTCGAAACTAAAAGTTTTCTATACATCAGCTATGCTTCTCAGTGGTAAAAGATTGGAAAACGTTGATTATAGCTGGATTAAGTGAGCAATATTACCGCAGATACACACACAAAGAACCAATTACAGATAAAGTCTGACAATGATCTCAGCATTGTAACTTTCACTATAAGTTAAAACAATCAAATGGAGGCCACTTCAATTTATGAAAGATTTGAAACGTCTACTGCTTCATAAAATTTGATGAATAAAATGCTTCCTCAAGGAGAAAAAATACAAGTTGGCAATTTGCAGATTGTGGTAAACAAGAGTGAGAACTAATATGTATGTAACACTTTTTCAAGGGCTGAGGAACAAAATGAAAAAAAGGACATTTGATTGAGCTTACGATTAGATAGATTCCAATACAATTCAATAGAATTCAAGGACAACATTTGAATTAACAAGCAGATTGTGGTTCAACACACAAGTCGTTCAGACAGTGTTGGTGATTCAGCCAACATGCATTCAAATTCATTCTAGACCTAATGTCTCAGTATCGAGAAAAAGCTCTTCCACGCACAAATTTTCCCTCATGAGAATTATGCTGTTTGGAACAACGCTTAATTTTTGAATTGTTGAAAATAAATTTCAGGAGAGATGAGACGCATACTGAGGAAACAATATAATTCTAAAGAGGTTTATGCAACTATAATTATTTTGTAAAATCATTTAATCTTTAACATTTACCCTATTTTTTAAATTCCAAAGAAGTTGCCACATTTCAAATTAGACTGCACTTTGCATTTTGGAACTCCTATTTCTGGCTCATCAAAAGAAGCATCTATCTGCATAGGGAAACTAATGGCACAGGCGTTGTTTCTAAAATGAACCGGAAATTGTAGTTCCTTCTGTCAAATTAAGGTTCAATTACTGCATACTAATAATGTTGTTTAAGCTCTCGTTTTCTAAAAAATAATTGACGACTTGATTATTTTTCTCTTGGAGCATTTCTCATTGCAGAAATATGAATATCATTGGACAGAGTGAGGACACGAGGTTTCGAGTAGATAAGTTTAGCTTTCCTTTTCGGAATTGACTCTTGAAATCTGATTTCTTTGTTGATATTTGCACAGCTGCACTTGAATTGAATCAAAGTTAATTGTACTTCTTGAATATTGAAGGAACCTAAAAGAATATCAGGTTACTTATAAAAAACAATGCTTTGACACAGCAGACGACACAGTAATGGACTAATTGTTGTTACTGCTAAATTAATGGCACAAAAGAAGACTCTCATGTGAGGAGAAGTCACAACTCGGGAGAATACTTGATTACGTTCACAATGATCGCTCAAACATTCGTCGTATTTACAAATGTACATCTTGCTTAACAAACTAACAAGTGATTATTGACGTGGACACGATTCGTCACAACACGATTTTTCGAGACACGATTCGTTACAACACGATTTTTCGAGACACGATTCGTTACAACACGATTTTTCAAGGCACGATTTGTCACAACACGATTTTTTGTGACATGAGTCGTCACAGCAAGGCTCATCGCAACACGAATCGTCTTTGGTTTCTGACAGAAGAGAAACAACACACAGAGCCTCTTTTGGATCAGACTGATCATCATTAAGCTGGGCTGTCTTTTTGGCGATGAGTTCTTGATCTTGGTCAGGAGGTTGAACGTTCATCACTGACTTGACTGCTTTCGTGAACATATCTGAAAGAAGACAAGAGCAGGATTTTAATATGACCTACCTATTCACGAAGACTATATTTTTTGAAGCTATAAATACAATTTCAATGAAAACTAATTTAACTACCATTCTGAGGTGGATTCTCGGTTGTTTTGAAATAAATTCATCTGATTCCATGGCAACTTTATTTGACATGATTTACTCTTGTCAGCTGTTAAACTACATAAATAATCAAATTTCTGCGAGTGGAATAGATTTAAGCTTTTAACTTACAGCCAATCTCCTTTAAAACAAAGTAGAATTCCCTCTGGTGGACGGTGCTTCTACAACATTAAGTTTTCATGCTGGTAGCAGTGACGAGCACATCCAAAATTCTCGACCAACCTCCTGAGGTGAGTCGAAAAAAATGGATGCGAATATTACCCAAAATTCATCAAACGACTAAATTTAGTCCTCGACTTCAGCAGAGCGTTTTTCTCCTTTGGTTTATAACCCTGCTGCCTAGTTGACAAAGTTGATCGAATCCACCCACGGAAATTTTTCTTATGATTAATCTACGGAACATTTAGATATCAAGCACAAAAGCTTACCTGCGCCGAATAATTTCTTCTGGAAGTAAATGAAAGGAATGTAGACAACAAATCCAGAAATAAGGAATCCAACGGCTATCAGGTACTGAGGTTGAGGCTTCATTGCAATTGGAATAATTGCCAAACATGAGGCGATGATCATAACAAAAATAGGAATAACAATTGGTACCTGGAAAACATAAAAAATACCACCTTAGAATCTTTGAGACAGATATATTAAAATGTGCATGTGAAATAAAGCAGATGAGTCAATAAGCCAATTAACAGTCTCTACAATAAATACAAATGCCAACTGTATTCCAATTCCATACAATACTAATTGCAACTGACAACTAAAAAATATACCCACCAGAATTTGTCAATATTTGTTCAATATTCTTCCTTAGAGGAAATTCAATGAATTTTACTGAGAGGGTCAAGTAATCGTGTTTTTGCATGGGTACTTAATCCTGTTATTTGCTCTACACAATTAATTACACAATAATTTTCCAACACAATTTACGATTGAACTTCAGTAATGCTAAATTATTCTCCTTCCTATAGCAATGAATGCTTTAAGAGAAATCTCTCATGTTTGATAGATGAAATGAAAACGGAAAGGACTTGGGTATTACTTACTTTCCATGGTCTAGGAACATCTTTTTTCGTGTATCTCATAACAATTAAGGCGACCATGGCAAGACCATAGAATGTCCAGACAAGGAAACTGGCGAATTCAATTAGGGTAATTATATCTCCAGCCAAAATGCACACCAGACACAGAGCACCCTGAAAAAATCATTTTCATTACCAATTTGAAAAAAAGAAACACGAAAGTTAAAACCGAGAAGAATTTTTGTGTAAAAGTAAAAATTTGGGAAGTAATTTACTGGTAAGAAGTTTAAATGGGTAGCAGACTCATGGATAAAATACAAGCCCCTGTGGGGATACCATGATTTTTAGAGATAATTACAAAATGTGAGACCTGGAGAAAGATCAATATAATAGAGGTGATAAATACGGAACTAACTTACTTGATATGTTTCAAGGACATTATACCTCTTATTGATTTTTTTACTAAGATCTTATTCGATTAAAAATGTTCGAAATGTTCCGAAGGACCAAGCACTCTTATGCCAGCACGTTGGCATGTTACAAAAACGGTGTATGGTAACCAGTGATGGTATAGTCTCTTTTGGCTGCTCCAGTCCTGCCTCAAAATCAAAACCAAAACATACGCCCGGAAATATTTTTTCTTTGGTTTTCTTCCTCACATTTTCAACAATAACTTGTGGCGATACTCGAGGTTTGTAGCAGAGATCCTTAGTACTCAGCTCTGAACTTGACTGTATTGATAGCATTTCACCCTTCTGATTTAAATCAATAAATGAATAAATTGTTCACCGTACATGAAAGCCTTGAGGGGCTGCGGTAACAGTCAACTGCTGTTTGCGGAAAAACTTACACACTAGTTGAAAAGATGAGAACTGAATCCCATCATAATCAAAACCGTTTTCTAGACCATTTCGCTGTTTTCTGAAAATAGTATCAAACTTAGGAATACTTAATACATATTTTTGCCCCTTCAATGATGATTTTTTTTTCTTACCTGCAAAAGCACAGCTGGAGCTGGGGTAAGTCTTTTCGAGTGAACATAGGAAAATATTTCCATCATGTGTCCGTTTTTAGCTGCTGAGTAACATAATCTGGAAGAAAAAATTACGATTGAAAAACTGAGGGAAAAATGACAATTCGAGTAGAGACTTGGACATTCCATGAGTGCAGAAAAATTAATAGTAGTGGTTCAATTAGTACATCTGATTTTTTTTTCAGTATTGTTTTAATGAAACAAAAACTACTGATTTGAAATTAAGTTGATCAAGTTTTTGCAAATCAGTATTAACAAAAAAACTGAAAAATATTGATGGCTGAAGTAAAAAAATGCATACCTCAAATTGCAACGTTTTAGGTTGTTTATATTATTACCAAATAGAAACTAACCAACAGTTTCTATTAAAATTTTCAGTGAACTTTCTTCACTCATTCTAAAAAAATCACACAAAATTATGAGAATAACGATAGATTAGTTTTCTTTGAGGAAAATAAGCGTAATTGGAAATTTTAATACATTGCAATTGAGGTACACATTCCCCGAATTTAGCCATTGTTATATTTAGATCCGGCCAATATAGAGTCCTAAATTTACAGGGTTGATCGGTATTTTAATAGGACACTATAATGAGCAATATTGCGGAGTCATGCCGTTCCAGGTCAAAAATTCTTTACACTTTGGAACAGTCCCTCAAGCTTATTATGTTGCTGTAAATTATATTTCAAAGCACTTGGTGCAGTTGTTGAGTTCTTTTCGAACAACAATTTTCTGACTATCAAATATTTTGTACTGGTTAACATTTATTACTTTACTTTAGCCCATTGACCTAGACTGCCGGCTCCCAGCCGTCCGTGCTGCACTGGGCCAGATCTGAAGAGACGGTTCAGAGCCGTCTGTCAATTCTTTGCATTAGTTCGGCGATTCTCCAGTAGATTGCATTCTCATCAATGTATATATGAGCAGTGTGACCTCTCAATGACTTATTGTGTAAGGTACTTCCTTGTTTTGTTACAGTATTTTCTTATTAATGTGCGTTTGAACATGAAATAACCTTAAAATTTTCTGATTATCGCTAATTTTGCGATTTTCGCGACTTCGACAGCAATAAACTACATTAAAAAATCATTTTGTTCAAAGTTTTCACCATTTTTCTGAAACATTGTATTGTGAGTGCTTATTATGTCGATTCTTACCCTCAGAGAAGGAATTTTTTGATTATTTTGAAGTGTTCAAAGTTACTGATTTCCGCCAAATTAAATCGTAATTCCTGGCTCAAATTAAATCATACGTCAATAGGTTAAGCCATAGAAGACAATGAAGTCAAATTAAGAGAGAAACATACCTGGTTACTCCAAATTGCACGCTAAGAGCACAACCAAACGTTGAAAGTGCAACACCCATTGGGATTAAACAGGAGAAATGACCCAAAACTTTCACACCGACTTCCTGAGTAAGATAAGAGAACATATGTAAAAATCATGAAACTAAGCAGGGAGCAAAATACAAAATAAAAAGAGTGCTTACTCACACTGTTCGTGACGTAATTCTTGCAGAAATTATTGAACCACTTTGAAAAGAGGGCATACAAGAAACAAAAGCTTTCTATTACAGATTTGTTGATCTACTTTCTTTTTCACTTTTGCTCATTTTCTTAGGTACTTAATTTCCAAAGAGCCGTATGCAAAAACGACATTTTTCGCCCCCCCACTAAAACTTATTCAAACTTCGTCTATCAGTTACTAATACTGGAGCGCTTCTTTCCCCAAATTTTCAGACCCCCAAAAAATTTTGGGGGGGCACTAGGGGGGGCGGAATTCAAAACCTGTGACCCTCGATATCTTTCGAACGAAACAAGATATTGAGGCCCGGTTTGGACGAAAAATCGTCTAAAATTGCATATTTTAAGATTCTAAAGGTCAAAATCCCAAAATTAAATTTTTAACTTAACTTATGTGCTTTTTTTCAGTTTTCGAGGAAAAACAATTTCTTTTAAACAGATTAAACTGAAATTTCACATTTTTTGATTTGAAGCAAAACCAGTTTTTTAAATTGTTCGTCTTTTTCCGCATCCAACGAGTGGTCGTATAAGCTGGGGAACCGAACGGTTCCGGAGTTATGATCGATTGAAGTTTCCGCTCAACGCGCGCCGACCGATTTTCGCGCGCAAAAAAGTCGGATTTGACTGTTATTAAATCAGATTTAATGTTCAAACTGAGCAAAATGCATTATTAGGGACTCTTGAGGGTCGCTGAGTCCAGAAATTACAGATACTTCCAAAAAATTCACGTTTTTAAAATTACAGCTCCGTACAGGACCACTGAGCGGCCGGTCGGCGCTCAGTGGGCCTCTAAAATAGCGCTACGGAGCTGTAATTTTAAAAACGTGAATTTTTTGGAAGTATCTGTAATTTCTGGACTCAGCGACCCTCAAGAGTCCCTAATAATGCATTTTGCTCAGTTTGAACATTAAATCTGATTTAATAACAGTCAAATCCGACTTTTTTGCGCGCGAAAATCGGTCGGCGCGCGTTGAGCGGAAACTTCAATCGATCATAACTCCGGAACCGTTCGGTTCCCCAGCTTATACGACCACTCGTTGGATGCGGAAAAAGACGAACAATTTAAAAAACTGGTTTTGGTTCAAATCAAAAAATGTGAAATTTCAGTTTAATCTGTTTAAAAGAAATTGTTTTTCCTCGAAAACTGAAAAAAAGCACATAAGTTAAGTTAAAAATTTAATTTTGGGATTTTGACCTTTAGAATCTTAAAATATGCAATTTTAGACGATTTTTCGTCCAAACCGGGCCTCAATATCTTGTTTCGTTCGAAAGATATCGAGGGTCACAGGTTTTGAATTCCGCCCCCCCTAGTGCCCCCCCAAAATTTTTTGGGGGTCTGAAAATTTGGGGAAAGAAGCGCTCCAGTATTAGTAACTGATAGACGAAGTTTGAATAAGTTTTAGTGGGGGGGCGAAAAATGTCGTTTTTGCATACGGCTCTTTGAATCGGCTCGTGCAAAAACGTTCTGATACTACTTTTATTGACCGATGTCCAATACAGTGTTTCAGAATTTGAGTGGACGATTTTGTTGCAACTTACAGACAAAAAATGGTTTAAGACATTCTGAATGTAGAAAAGTTTTATAAATAAATCCCCTACGTATAGTTGAACGTTCAGTGAGGAGATCGATCTTATCCATCAGTGTCGTGGCACACAAAAAACCACTGCAATTTTGAAACCCTACATTGGACAGTGAATGTTTCCCCACCACCCAATTCATTTATTTGTTTGAAAATTTGTCTAATTGTTACTTATTTCTCTCAATTAGACTGTTTTTATTCTTGTACATAGAAACAATAACTAACACACAATTTGAAATTTTTATTTAACCAGTTCGAATCAGAGTAATAATATATTCATTATAAATCAGAGTAATATTATATTACTCTGATGAATAACAATGAATTTGGTTTGTCATTATAATGAATCGTAAAGCACAATAGTGCATCAAATTTCTCTTGTTGGGAAGTTGCAGATCATTAGTAGGCGAGGCTCATTTCGTGAACAATCCAGAAATGCTATCATAACATTTTAATGCTTGCATGAGGAGCCTGGCGGACTTTCCAGGATTGTTATCACAGCTTTCACGCAAAGATGTACATGAAAGATGTACATAAATTTATACTCTTTTAGGATAAGCATCAAATTTTTCAGCAAACAAAGAAATCTGATTGTAACTTAACAACACACATAATAAAAAAATCTCAGTGATTGCAAGCGAGTGGGAAGTGTGAAAAGTTGCAGAAAATTGCTCATAGCCTCCCGATCCTTTAAGTGGTAGTGTAAACTGAACTAGGCGAGCGAGAAAGTAAAAAAAGAATCTGAATGTGCTCTGCGGTCTAGAAAGTAAAACTATTTAATAAGGATTTTAAAATGAAATTCTGATACCTATCAGTACAAAACTTCGAGGAGAGAGCTCTTTTTTTCTTGATGCTGGATAAGTTGACTTATCAATCAAGAGTTTAGGTCATGAACTCCAACCTAGAAACGAAGTTCTGTTAAAATGATATTCCAGCAGAGTCTAACTGTCATGTTTCTATCGAGATTCGTTAGGAAAGAAACAAGAAGTGTGCCTACTTCTGAAAGGAAACAATTCAATGCTTGGTTCCTGAATGAAGGAATGGTTACAAATACTATTACATCTCCCTTGAAGTTTAGAGCAATTTCTTGCAAATTTTCACTCCCACTTTCCCAATTCCTCCTCTAGAGGATACACTTACGTTGGCAACAGCTTTGGCTTGAATCAACTCCGGAACGCTCAGAACTGTCATGTAAGAGACATTCATGAAACAGTACAACATTGTGACCAAAGGCACAGCAATTATGACTGCTCTGGGGATGTTTCTAGGGAAAAATTTAAAGCATATTAAGAAAAGAGTCAGACATGAAAATGAGATGTACAGGAGAAAACGCAGAGACTGAGCAGAGAATAAAAATCTTCTACTGAGAAAAAAATTACTGTTGTGAATTAGAGGAATTTAAGAGATAATACTCTCTCCAAACAAAATTGGGAGGGTAGTCGTGAGCGTCTCCTTCAGTAATTCAGTCAAATCTTCTGCGCAAGTCTTCCATGTAATCAGAAACATTGTACAATCAAACAACAACACAAAAAAAAGACAATGTTCCAACTTCACCCCTGAAGTCTTGAGAGCCACCTTGGCTGACAACACTAGATTTAAGGAGCAATCTACTATTTCTCAGGAGCCGTTAAAGTATTCAACATGCCATTTTGGCTAGGCATGGTATTTTGCGAAAGGTATGGACACAGCAGATATTAGACAGATATCAGGCTGCGTCAATTTTATAGACACCATTTTGGGGTTGCATCCTTTATTTATAGGTGTAAAAGCCTGATTCAATGGAGTTTTTTACAGACAACAATCAGTGACATTGGAACACTGCATTTATGGGAACAAATGAGGATATTGCCTAGGTAAAAAAAAAAACTGCTGAATGCAAATGCTAAAAAATAGTGTGAGTAGAGAAATTACTGAAAAGAAAGAAATGTGTTTTCATGCAAAGTCTAACTCAATTATAAAAGCTTAATTTTCACTGTTCTTCAATTAAATATGACAGTTTCACCGTACTTGCGAACGGACCTTGAAAAAATTTGATACCAAAATGCCGCATTAGTAGCTCAACTTCAATGATACTATCTCAAAACGAAAATTTTACATCCGATATCATACAGGAGCAAAATATATTATTGATGTACTGAGTTATTACAATAAAAACAAAAGTTGAGCTATTGGCCGATTTTACAAATATAAGCGGTGATTGCGACTCCGGTCATTTTATAATAAAATAAAACAATGTGCAAGAGGATGTTAGGTGTATATACATTGATTTTACCTTAACATGGTGGACAAGCAAACGATTCGACCAACACTTTAGTCTTCATCAGTGCAAAGGAAAGTAAATAGAAAAGAATAAAAAACACTGGCAAGATCTGGATTATTCTTATCTATGTGCTTTCCATTGCACTGATGAAGATTAGAGAGTTAGTCGAAACGTTTGCTTGTCCACCATGTAAAGGTAAAATCAATGTAAATACACCTAACATCCTCTTCCACATTGTTTTATTTTATTAAAGCATGGGCTGAGTCGTAATTATTGCTTATATTTGTAAAATCGGCTAATAGCTCAACTTTTGTTTTCATCATTTGAGTAGCCGAAAACCGAAAAATCCTGAGTTATTACTAGTGTACCCTATATTTGAGTTATTTGTAAAAATAAAACTGAGGAGTTTAGTCAAGTAGTTTTTCAAACTGTTTGCAGAAAGTCGTATAAATGAATCTAGGAAAATTGTTATTGAATAAAACAAATCTTAAAGATAATTTAATTTTATTCCTAAACTGCTTAAGAACTGTGAGAGTATGTTCAATATTGATTTTTATTAATGCTTCTTTTCTCATTTGGAATATACGTCAAATTATTTGTGTTGTCTGTAACTGATCATGTACGATTGATTATGATTTCTGTGCTCAATATGTACTTGAAAGAGCCTAATTTAAATAGAAAACAAAATGGAAATTCGAATTTTGGTTTCCTAAGACTTTAACGAAGAAAAATACTAAATAAAAAGATTCTTAATAGAGACAGCAAAGAGCACTATTCATTTTCAGAGGAAAAATGATAGAAGCTGAAGAGCTGAGGAAAAGCCTAGATTGATTAAAAAAAAAAGCTTGCTTTCGAACCATTATGGTCCTTGAGCTGCGATAAAATAAAAAGAAGGGAGCTGATAACTCTATGGGGTTAAAAAAGAAGGGCAAAAAAAACCATGCAGAAAATATATGGTCAACTGATACGTAATAACCGTAGCGGTTAATCAACGTGATAAGAAATGACTTTGACTTAAGGAGCCCAATGAAGAGATATATCAGTCTCATTACAACTATACTTCGCAGAACATAATTGATGGACCTTGTAGGTCTTATAGGTGATATAGAATGACCCTTGAGGTCAATGACGTTAGAAAGCAATCGTATAATTAATAACCATGGTGGTTCCAAAGAGTTACTGAAAGTTAGCATTGCAAATTCGCGATGCACTTTCAGTCAACTTTTAGAGACTTGATGACTTGATACCATATTCAAATAAAAACCATTGTTGGTTTCTGAAATGAATATGAATCTTCTTGGGCTAAGCAACAAGTGAAATCCAATCGGAAAAAAACAAGGGCTTTCAACATTTGTTAAACATTTGAAATTGCACTGAGAAATACATTTTAAATGGTAATAAGAGTTGAAAGCACCTGTTTTTATTCATTCACTGGGTCCGAGACAACGGTACTTTGAATACCATTCGGACTTTACCTCTTTTTCCTTAAGAGCTACTGGTGGATTGAGTCTAAAATGCAACTTTTGCAAAGAGAAAAAATCAAAATCTACCCATCTATCAAGAGAAAGAGCCGTCCTGAACATCATCAGAGAGAATATTGATTATTCCGATAGTGTAAATCTAAAATAATTACTACTTAAACTTTTCATCTTCGGTGAGAATAAAATTAGGTGCAATAGTTTGAGAGATTTAAAAACATTTTGGCTTTCCCAAATTCTGAATTCTATGATTGTCTAAAATTGCACACTTTTTTTCATTGTTGGAATTATGATAGAAATGGATAATATAATCTACCTGTACTGGCTGGAAACGAGTGGTCTGTGTTTGTGATACTAAATAAAAAGGAAAGGTGATGCTGGCACGGAATCAACTGTTCACAGTTGGTTTGCCTTCAACAGATGTAGATCAGAAAGGAAAATCCCTCTTATTAGGACGAAGATTTAAAATAATTAAAATTTTCTAGGGATTATCACCAACACAGGTAGAATTCAATACAACATTTGTCCTGATTTAAAATTATTCATACTCAAATCACTGTTAACCTGAATTTTCAAGATCTAATTAGGAGAAAAACGAACATCAGAAGCACACATAAAAAAAGAGACTGGGGCACATGCTCCTGTGTGTTTATTTGAGAAAAATTAGCAATAAAATTATGAAAAAGAGTAGCTATCATGAGAAAAATGCAAACACTGAGAAGATATAAGTAAAGGAAGAGAATAGGAAACAAATTCTAGAAAACACAGACAGGCACTAATACAACTGAATGGAAAATTCTACGATTTAGCAGCTAAGCACGTGTTCCTGATTGGCTGCTTTGGAATGAACAACATTAAAGTTAAGGGAGGAAAAAAAGGGGGGAACACTTTGTCAACCACCAATTGTTATTGAACACATAACTTTCTAAAAAAAGAAACAGATCGAAATTGAAGAGAACTTGAAAACCTAAATTCCTAAACCCAAACTCTGACAAATATGCTGAGTATTTTACGAAACGAGCAAAAGTTCATCACTTTAGACATAATCCACCAATGCCATTAAAGAAAAGAGCAAAAACTAACGATCAGATATGAGAAATTGAGAAAATTGGGGAGGAAAAAATCACTAACAACTTACTTATTAGGTTTCTTAATTTCTTCTGTGACAGTAGTCACTGAGGACCTGAAGCCACAAACAGAACAAGTATGAGATTGCGACCAAATGAGCGTTTCGAGCAATGAATGTGAACGCCTCTTTGAGAGACATTGATTCAATTTGCTAATACTCGGATGATATAAAAGGTGTGCAGACTACTTATTCCCACAACATGCTGTTTTTGTTTTGTCCATAAAACACTTAAAAAATTAGAAGTCATTTAAAAGGTATCTTTGATAGGCAAAAGGAGGAATTTATCATTCTCATAAATCTAAAATTACCTGGACTGATATTTTTTTTTTCACTCTGTTAAATAATACAAAAGTATGAATTAATAAATCTGATTCTCTGATCACTACAGTTAACAACCTAATTGAATTGACTTTGTCTCTCAAATGATTTAAAAAATGTCTCATTTCTCAGGGGAAAAATAGACAATTTGAGACTGTGAAATAAAATATTAGTAGAGATTAAAATTAGAACATTCATTTCATTTCATTTCATGTAATTTTATTTATGGGGGGGGGAGGAGGAGGTCTTTCTTCTTAACGAAGAGAGAAAATAAATGTTTTTCTGAGTGTGATATTACTTCAAACGCGTTATGTACCAAATAGTTTACGAAAGTCATTTTAAAATGTTTCTGCCTGGATTGTATTTAAAATTTAATATGACCGTTTGGTAAAAAAAAAAAAATTAATCCTGGCAGAAAATACTACAAGTTTAAAAAATGCTAAATTTCAACACCTAACATTTTACAACTACTGAAAACAATAATTGAAAGCTGAAGTTTTAAAGATGAGTTGTCTACTTCTGTTAGTAGAAAATTCTTAAGGCGAGGAATAAATTTTCTCATTTAAAATGGATAACAAAACAGAAACTAGCATGTTATGAAAATAAGGTTTTAATGTCTGAATCACACAGAAGAAGTTTCCGCCGATGTAACTAGGAAGAAAAGAACTTTGGAAGTTCATAAAAATGCATGATGGCTACGCAAAAGTTGCCACACAACTTCCTAAAGTGCTTTAATGAATGTTCAAATGATGTGGCAATATTAATGGTTTCCGACTTTTCGGAAAAAAAATATCTCTGTAAGACACTTATATCAAATGCCCATTGTAAAAAATAGCTCTGCGTCAAGCCATCTGCAATCAACAAAGGAACTCTGGAAGTTCAAACTTAGTTACAGGCGGAAATTCTAGATTTTCAAAGACTTTGTAAGTCCATTGCTGAAAGAATAAAAAATAGACAAGTGAAAAAGAGACAACATATATCGGAAAGAGATTTGAAACAATTTTAAATTTTCAACAACAACCATAATTTTCAATCAATAATTCCATGTATGTGGTAAAAAGTTCCATAAGTCTGAGTCGTCACCTGGGATTATTGTGTGCTGATTATTATGTTATCAAACAGTTATTGAATATTATATCCTATTTTTGAAAAAATCAAGAGGTGAATTTTTTGCATGGTTGTATACAAGACTGGATGATAAAAGAACCCAGACAGAAGAAGGGTTATCTTCTTTTTTCATGTGAAGAAAACATGAAGAGATTTTATGTTATGCAAAACAAATCTTGTTATCATGGTATATAGTTTTTCATTGCTTCCTTAGGTATAAATCTGCCTCAGCATAATTTTGAAGAATTTCAGATTAAATAATTAAAAAGGTAAATTTAATTTTTTATCTGCCAAGAAGTCAAGCAAAACGAAAGAAAAAAACTGAGTTTTTGTAGAGCAGCGAGGAAGAGATAAGAGTCACTGATTATTCCTTTGAGAGGGGATTTTTTTGATAAGCTTGAGACGGATAACCCTGCAATTTAATGAGATATTTCTCTTATTTTTCACTGAATAAATGAGACAGAATGAAAAAGGCACTTCAGACTTGATTATAGAGGTTTTCAGAACTACGCTAATCTGCCACAACTGTAAAATTTGTAAGACTCTGCTCACATAAAACTGGCTCATTAAACTACTACTCGTTGCAAGGTTGAAATTAAAGACGATTTCAGGTTCTTGACATTTAAAAAAAAATCAGATGACTAACCCTAAAAATATAAATACAGACAAGAGAAGAGGTATGTAAGAATTTTAAAACTCATTCTCACTTGAAAAGTCGTTGTATACTTAATAATTTTTAGATATTAATGAGGATGTTCTTTACCACTTTCTATTCCTAACAAATTGTGCACCCAGTCAAAATCTGCTCTGAATTTCTGAGAAATTTTAACGGCAAAGATAAGCAGACTTCCAGGAACGATGATGAAGAGCTTCAGTAAAACTTTTAAAACAGCAAATCAAGTGAAAAACCTTCGCCAAAATAGACAGGCTACTTCTAAAAAAAAATCACGCGAAAAATAGTACAGTAAAAAAAAGAGTGCTTGAAATATTACATACCAGCCATCATAAGCCCAAAGACCATGGTAAAATGCCACTGCAAAAGCTCTTGGCGATAAATCTGATCCTTTGAATGGATTTTCAAGGTTTTGAGTTTTCCCTACAAAAAATTGAACACATTATTAAATAATAATACTTAGCTGTAAAGAAGGGATGAACTCATATGCATGGCGATCGTAGATAAGAACTGAAGGGAATGACGCAAATAATATTATTTGCATTTGCAAAAAGAGATTTAAAATTACGGCATTCTCACTTAAATGGTTAAAATACTTAAACGGTAAATGATAAAATAAATCACAAACAAAAGTAAACATTAAGTATTTTAAACATAACGAGGGAGACTTACCAATGAAAATGTAGTAGAGACCACAGCCTATGACAAGGAAGCAAGCAGCAACTTTGAATGATGAGAAAATATTCTGAATCTTAACATACAGTTTGACACTAAAGAAGTTGATTGCTGTGATAATAACTGTAGAGAAAAAAGTGAAAAACCACACATCATTAGTAAAAATAATATAATGCTCTCCAATTATGATTAAAGTAGATTGTAAAAATAATATAATGCTCTCCAATTATGATTCCAACATAACTATTTATGTAAAGTGTTGGTGATTTCGCCAACATGTGTTAAAATTCAGTCTAAAACTGAAGTCTTATTGTAGAGAGAAAAAGCTCATCCGAACACATATTTTCTCCCACAAGAGTTATGCTGTTTGGTACAACACTTGTCACAACCAGTTAGAACTGTAAATGCACACACGTTTTGGATCCAATTATCATCCAAGGGTCATGACTGGTGTTGCATTAAACAGGATAACTCTCATTAGAGATAATTTGTGCTCGGCTAAGTTTTTTGTCTCTATAATGAGACTTCAGTTATAGACTGAATTTTGAGCGGGCGTTGGCAAAACCTCCAACACTCCACTCAAATTTTTTCGTGAGTCAAACCACGATCATTTCTGCTAAAATTACTATCTTTAATGGATCTATGAAAAAATGGTCTTACCCGAAATGAAATTGGAGCAAATTGAACAAGACCCTCACATGACATGCTGCTCATTCCGGCAAGTGATCAAATTCAAAAAATGAAATTGCCTGAATTTTCCGTTTCTCTATCCAAAATTACTGGAGTTTCTTGACTTTTGGAATCAATGATAAATCATTGTTCATGCGAGACGGAAGCAATTCCTACCATGACCTATCGAAATGATCTGAAAGTTTGCAGGTGCTTTAGAAGGAAAAAAAGGAAGCAAAATACTTAAGATTTTGCAAGGTCATTGTTTTTGACAGTTGTAAAAACTCAAAGGATATAGGAATATCTTTTGATGGTCCTCATAAAATTTGTAGCATTATTTTTTGTTATCCCTCAAAAATAACCCTTCACCTGCAGACAATTACTTTGGTTGCATTTCTTTAAGTGGGTTTAAATATGGGTACTTACAAAGAGCTGCGATGGCGACTATCTTCTTTCTATCATAGTAATTATCAATTTCATTTGGTGGGATAATGGGGTTAAGTAATTGAGTAAAGTATTCCGCAAAAGTCAGGATGATTATAGCAATCTCTGCAGGGCGGACAAATACGATTGAAACCCAACAATTGATGAAACTAGGAAGTGGTCCCCAAAATTTGTGGAGGGGTCCAAATGCTTCTCGATAGTAAGAGTACTCAGCTCCGGATTTGTTAACAACAGTGCCAAGCTCAGCATAAGACAACGCACCTGTAAATTAATTATCATTATGAAACAAAAGAGCAGAAAAATGGGTACCAGAAAACGAAAAAAAAAAAAAAAAAAAAAAAAAAAAAAAAAAAAAAAAAAAAAAAACAGTAAGTAATACTTCAGATTTCTCAAGGGACTTTCAAAAAGATGATGAGGATTTTTAAGCAATAAGTTGTATTTAAATTTTATAATTTTTTTAAATTGCCCTGAAGAGAACAATCCTTGATGTCTTACTGATCTTTTTGCCTTCTGTGACATAATAACTGCACAGTTGGCATCTTGCCCTCTCCTGACATGAAGGTTGTTTCAATTATAATACATATTGCCTCAAGTGCTAGATTGATTGTGAGTAGGGAGCTAGATACTGATAGCTTTAATAGATGGGCACTGAAAAGAAGAAAAAAAAAATCTTAGCAACACAGTTACCCTTACATTCCATGCTTGCACTTGCACTTTGCAACAGAAAACAACAGCAGAGCTACAGCAAACAAACTTTATAGTTGCCAAAAAACAATTTAATATCAAATTCAAATAGATTCTAGGCTGAAAGGGCACATTTATTCAAAGAAAGTTTGAGTATCTACATGGTGTTCCTATGTCTTTATAGGTGTCTACATACGCGTACCTATGTCTTTGATCCATGGTGTTCCCTTGCGCTGCCGTGCTGGTGAAAAATCTTGTATATACATATGAGAGGTGCCAAATTTTCTCAAGTTAAATGTTAATTTTTGAGATGGATTTTTAGATGGATATGGATATTTTCTCTTGAAATTTTCAGATAATTTGGACTGTGTTGCCCCGTAAGGAACCAGGCCGCATCAGCTATTGCCAACTTTAATTGGGAAATTTATTTTATTACATGAAAACAGTTGTGCGGATTATTGTGCACATTTCGCAGAATTTTTTGTAGGAAGTAAATTCCTTAAAATTTCAAGCAAATCCGCACAAACATTCTCTTGTAAAAAATTAAATTGCCCAGCTAAATTTGACAATAGCTAATGTGACTTGGTTCCTTTCTGCTAAACGCAGTCCAAGTAGATCTCATCGCGATTAAAATTCTTCGAAGAATAAGAGGCAAAATCTTCACGGATTTCCCTGAAAATTAATATTTTATCAAGGAAAATTTGGCAATGCCTGAAGGCTGATACTGCGTTTTTCCTTAGCACGGCAGTGAGGATAGACCGTTCTTACATGGATTGCTTCAAATCTGAACAGAATGAATCAAGAGCATAAGTTGCATCCTCTAAATGCACGGAAACTTTGGTAACTTATAAAACGAATAAGTAATCACTTTTTTCCCCTTCAAGAAGAAATAAAAGTTGGAAACTGAAGGAAAAACAATATCTACCCTTCTAAATACCCACAATAATAGAGAGGTCTTGATGTTTTCGTAAAATTAGATTTTGAAAAGAGATTGAGAAGAACATGATTTACCTAGCATGGAGATGGTTCCACATAGAGCCCAAACAATGAGGGCCATTCCGATGGATCCGGCCTCCTTCAGAGCTCGTGTTGGAGAGACAAAAATTCCAGAACCTGGTAATTCAAAGAGACAAAAATAATGAATTATTGATAGAGAAAAATCAAAGAAAGGGGTCATTTGCCATGTAAAATTCAGAAACGACAACACTCAAAGTCTCATGTGTTAAATTCATGGAACAAAAATCATAACAAATGCTGATCAACATTTCAATCCATGAGACCATGAATTGATCACTTTTTTCTTCGTCACGAATGGAATCAAATGATGAACAGACATAACTGAAGTAGCAGTGATCGCGATAAGTTGCGATTCGATCAGAGAATACCATATCACGATTTTATCGACGTCAATTTATTTAAATATTATTGAATTAAAAATCGCGATTTCATCGCATAGCTTTGCGAGAAAATCGCGATTTTATCGACGGCGATTTATCGCGATAGTATCTAACAAAAAATCGTGACATATTGAGATAAAATTTCGATTTTATTGGACACAATTTCATAGAGATAAAATTGAGACATGACTGAAAATAGTCGCTTGGATGTTGACGATCCTAGCAATTCCATCGCCAAATAATCGTAAAAAAATCGCAACTTAATTTCAGAATTTTTACTTAACTTTATTTCAGCGATTTTTCCATTGACAAATACTACCTGGGTAGAGAAATATCTTGTTGAGTGATATCTATCGGGTATCTTTTATTTAATTTTAGAGACGAGGAAAAGCTAGGATCTATAATATCAAACTTTTAATTTGTCAATTATGTACCTAGATTTTTTTTTTTTCGTTGAAGGGACTGAAATAGGACGGACTGAGGGCATTTTAGGATTAATGAATGAATTGTTAACTTGAGAAGGGGCGGCGGTATTTAATTAAGAAAAAGCGTGGCTAAGTTCATTGGCTGAAAAGATACACTTACCAATCATGACACTGAGAATCAAATTCACAGCGCTCATTAGCCCCAGCTCCCTCTGAAGTTGGACGCCTTTGGCCGGTTTTCCTTCTTCGGCCTTTTTGCCACTGAATACTTCGATGTACATGTTGCTGCTCTCGGAGTTCAGCCTGCTTTTTCCGTCCTCACATCGAGAACATTCTGAAATGTCCAAAAAGAAAAAGGAAAAAACTTAGTAAGTGTGAGGACAAATTTAAAAAAGAAAAAAATTGAAAACAAAAAAATCGATGGTTATTCAATGACACTCAAAACATCAGCGATTCCTAATGAACCCTAAGATCTACCGTACTAGGAAAAAACGCAGTATCAGCCTCCAAACGATGCCATAATTTCCCCCAACAAATCACGAATTTTGGGTATTTGTAAAAATATGTTTCTCTTCCAATATTTCAGAGAATTTTGCTTGTAATTCAATCCGAAGGGTCTGAAAATTAAAAGGAAAAAAGCTCACAACTTTCCTCAAAAATTAATGTTTTCTAAGATTGAATTTGGCAACGTTCGAGTGTTCATACGGCGGTTTTCCTGCGCGCGGCAGAGATACATAAAGTTCTTGTATTTTTGGGGTATCCATATTAGGGTGATCATACATGCATAGGGTGATCCATAAGTCTCGCAACATCAGCATCAGGCATTTGAAACTTTTGAAAAATTGAGATATAAACAAGGAATCTTGTGACTGCTCCTAGACCAATAGAAACGACTTTTGAAACCCCCCAAAATCTTTAGGATATCCCTCTGAAAGGGGGTAAAAACCCTGGGGTTATAAGGGTAATGCGCGAATTTTGGATCACCCTATGATGGTAGGATCCACGCATAAGAAAAACGTTTCACTTGTCGGATCTCCTCATGGGAAAAAGGGTGTAACTCGTGTGAGACAACCCGCATGATCTACCCACTCCGTGTGAGCTCTGGAACTCATGGTGATACGCGCGCGACAGGGTTCATCTCAAAATTTGCTTCCGGTTTTTTACCGACGACGAACCCACCTCTGATCTTGACATTCGAACGCGAACGCCTCCGCAACTTGGCTTATTTGAAATGCAAATTTGCTGAAGGAACAAAGCCACATCGGCATTTGTCCATTCGGGCCACAATTCGGCGATAAACAAAGAACCATCCCGGGACCAGAATACGAATTTTTTTCCTGTAGATACTTAAATTTTAGGTTTTCATGACATCAGCATAGCTATACTATTCGAAATTACTGTAAAATTAGACTGCATTCAGTAGTTTAGAACCACGATTTTTGGCTCATTTTGAAATCGATGTACGGTCTCGATTATCCGCGATTTTTTTTTTTTTTTTTTTTTTTTTTTTTTTTTTTCTTTTTTTTTTTTTGATGACTTTGTGGTGATTAAGCCACTAAAATACTACTGAAGCACAACACTTTGAGGTAAAATAAATTACAAGTGAGAAAGTAACTTCTTCGAAAGTAAGACTCATTGATTTTTGACTTAATAATATATTACGCGGTTCGGAATATCCGCGATAGCTTCAACCCCAATCACCGTGGATAATCGAGACTCAACTAAATGTGCGGTTAGTTTTCCTTTGCAGGTGAGTGCTTCCGCGGATGAGCCAGAAGTTATCGGTGCTAAGTTACAAGTCCTTATTGTAAAATGTAGTTCAAATACAGAAGAGTCTGGCTTATCCACGGATTTTTTTTCGGTGGCTGTTCTAATCTTCGTTGAAGAAGATTTTACAAAAACAAAAAACGCTACTTCAACCACTATTGCCAGCTAATTTAACCATGGGGTGGTTAAAGTAGCATTTTCTTGTTGTAAAATCTACATTGAAACATTGCAGTCACTTTTTTACGATTGAATTGTTAAATCAGCAATTTAATTTTTTCCGTGTGGAGAAGAGGGGAAAAAACTTTTGATGAAAGCATGATCGAACTTGAGCGAGATAATGGGGAATCGGGAAGGAAGGTCTAATCTAAATTCTCGATATTATTCGGGATGAATATCAATAAATCAAGCCGCGACTCCACCGGAACTCAACTTAAGTATTTTTAACCCGGGTCTTTTCCTCACAGCGAGGGAAACGGAAAACATCCGAGCGGACATGGAAAGATAAAAAAAAAAAAATTGTTGGCGGATGAAAATATTCCGAAGCGCGAGCTGACCTTTCGGCACCTGCATTTCCAATCGGGCGATTTTATCGCTTGCGAAGCGCGGGTGAAGCGAGAAGCCGCGTGATGAGGATCGTCCGAGGTAGCGCAGAAAAAGTCGTTGGTCATAGCCAAGGAGACGATTGAAATTGACTTTTGCACCTTTAGCGGTACGACGCGACGTGTGCTGAAAAAACCCCACAGGAAAAACAGCGTTAGATGACACGACACCGAGTTACCCCCCCCCCCCCNAAAAATTGACGCGGTCTATACAAGTCAAAAAGTGAGTTTTCTGCCGGCTGAAGATGAAATGGAGAATTTGCATATGAAAATTGTATTGCTTCATCTGAGAAGGCTTGATAAGCTGAGTTCGAAATATTTTTCACAAGTTTTTTCTGAAATGGGAAATCAGAGGAAAATAGATTTAAAAGTGAGAAAATGTGCCGCTTTGTGACGTTATTTGGCGGTATTTTCCATTTAAACACATGTATTTTGGCAAATTAGGTTATTCTGTCATATTTCCTTGTACTCTATGTATTTCCTAGACCAATTGTTCAATTTAGAAACCAAGGATATCCTGGAGCTCAGTTTTCTTAGCAGTCTCATTTTAAACATGGAATTTACAAAATTTCAGACACCTGCAAATTCTCCATAGCTCTGAAATGCGTCTCGCAGTAAAAAACCAATATACGAGTTTAAGTGAATGCGCGGAATTTTTTTTTTTTTTTTTTTTTTTTTTTTTTTTTTTTTAAATTCATTACTAGAGTTTAAATTTTTAAAAAAAAATCTCACTAAGTAGAATAAGTTATGATGTGGTTATTCATAGGCACCTACAGGACAAGTTTCTTCATACCTGAATAAATGATATCATCATAATGTTTCCATTTTCGATGAATGTGCGAGGCCACATCACTGTAAGCAACTATTACTGCTCCTAAGCCGCTCACATTGCCTACTTTAGAATTGAAGGCGAGCTGGCTGGATGAGCGCAAAACGATGCAGTGTTGATAGTCCACTAATACAGTGTTTAGTGCGAATAAAAACGCTAGAACTCCTGCAAATCGCCGAAGAAAACTCCGGTTCATTGCATTGAGCTTCAAAGAATGTAGCCTGAAGTATAGCATGATAGACTAAAAGCGTTTTCTGTGCCTGGAACCTGACCAAAACCAGGACCAAACCTTCTCTAAAAACTTCTACGGAACGTGAAGACTTAACTTCAAATTATTTGAGTAACTAAAGCCCCGGCATAAAGTTAAGTCATTTATCTCCGCGTAAGTTTCCAACTAATGGTGAGTGTATTTATCTACAACGACCTCTTGAAATTAACTTGAGAGGCGAGATACATTTTAGCGATATCTCAAGTCATCGGTTTCACTCATCCATCAATCAATACGAAGAAAGGCAGACACTCAAAGAGAGCAGTTTAAGAAGAAGTGCACTTTAAAAATGCACGGTGAAAATTTAGCAAGTCGCAGAGAATTCACAATGTTGAGTCTGTGGTAAGATGAACCCGAAAAAATTCAGAACAAAATCTTTCATCGAATCGAGTCAACAAACGTATTTTTACACACACACGCGCGCGCGCGCGGTTATGAAATTTCCGAAAATGACGAACTTCAATATTACCATTTCTTTATTCGAGTATGAGGTTTATTTAAGAGGTATTTTCAACTTTGTTTTTCTCTCTTCATCATCAGCAGTTTAATATTCTTGATAAATTAACAAGAATATGCAAATATAAAATTGCAAAGTACGTCAATTGAAAAAAGTACAACCGCTGTTAAGGATCGATGTGTGAAAATCTTTCTTCTGACTATTTTTTTCTTTTTAGCCTGTACCTCATTATAATTTTTTCTATTTTTCTTAAGTAAAATTTTGTATACAAAAAAGGGGGGGAAAAGAAGAAGAAAAGAAAAAAAAGAAGAAAAAGAAAGAAGAAAAGAAGGAAGAAAAGGAGGAAAAAAGGAGGAAAAAAAGAAGAAAAAAAGAAGAAAAGAAGAAGAAGAAAATAAGAAAGAAGAATAAGAAAAAGAAAAATAAAAGAAAGAAAGAAAGAAAGAAAGGAAGAAAAAGAAGGAAAAGAGGAGAGAAGAAAAAAATAAGAAAAAAGAAGAGGAAAAAGAAAAAGAAAAAAATAAGAAAAAAGGAAAAAATAAGGGAAAAAAGGGCAGAGAAAATTGAAACATACCAGTTTTTTTCATGGAAAAGAGTCCCATTTTCACGACTGGCCTTTCACAGATCACTCAAAAGCTAAGCGAAGTGACACGCGACTACACTACTGGAAGGTAAGCGTTCAGACTGGGACTCGCGGAGAGGCGGCCTTGGTGAGACTGACAGCAGTGACAGCCCAATGAATAAACGGGTATCGCATAGGACAAGTCGAAAGAGGACCTCAGGAATACTCAATAGATATATAACGCATGTATTGTATGTATTTAACTGATCACAGATCACTTCAGCCCACCACATCGCGCCACTCTCCTCAGCGCCTGTTGTCGGATCGATCATTCCAACCACATTTGGACTACATTTTGCAATAAGGAACCACAATCTCTAGCTCTTCCATAAAAGCACCTTTCTGCCAAAGAAAACCAACGGCATATCGGTTGTTTTTAAAATGAGCTAGAAATAGTGGTTCCTTATTGCAAAATGTAATCCATTTGGACTACATTTTGCGATTGGCCACTACAATACTGCCATGCTAAGGAAAAACGCCGTATAAACCTTCAGGCGTTGCTAAATTTCCTCTGATAAATTACGAATTTATTGTAGAAATTGGAAATAATTTTCTTCCAATTTTTCAGACTATTTTGCTCGCGATTTAATCTGAAATATCCAAAAATTCCATGGGAAAGTATGCAAAAATTTCGTCAAAAATACATATTTTATCCGGGGTTTGGCGACTCTCGAATGTTTGTACGGCGTTTTTCCTTAGCACGGCAGGACAACTGGCTCATCCTTAAAAACAGTTAGGTTCATAATGAAACTAATGGGGCATACGTTGTTCCTAAACTGAGCTGGAAATTGT